ATCCCCCTGTTAATATATCACGAGACACTTGGCACGTCTTTTTTTATGGAACAGCAAATAGATTGAGAAAAGAACATGGTATCACAGAAAGTGGACATGTAACTTGAACTTTAAACACTTCAGCAATGCTTTAATTACACCTATTGATTTACTATCATAAAATACAATGACATTGAGAACATGAACAAACTACCTCCAAAGACTTAAAATTCAGGCATTTAAAGTTGTAAGGTTCCATCATAATCAATGAAGTATCCTAACATATTTTAAAAACTAGCATTTAAGAGAGCAAATTCCACTGAGTTAGCTAACAAATGTTATTTCTGTCATTTCACATTTTTACGGTTTTATTAATGGCTAACAGTACAGCATTTTACTGCTCATATGTCCCTCATTTACTGTTAAATATATTAAAAGATATCCTTTCCTATATATTATATATATTAATTCCCTCCTTTATCTTGGCTCCGACTATTTTGCTCCTCCTGTTTCAGCATATATTTGTTTAAACGATTAGGTAACAGCCCCCTCCAGATGTGGTCACCCTGACTTTCCAGGGTTCTATTAATCCAATCCAGACCTAGGAAAACAGGACCTGGAACCCACTTCTGTGCACTTAAGTCCATTATTGGGTTCTATAGCAAGGAGTATCACTCATTATTAGAAAAACTCCCCCAGTGACAGCCCATCATACAGCAAAGCGAATCAAGGGTCACCTCATGTATGCTTGTGAACCATCAAATGCTAATACAGGCGGAATATGAATTCGAACTGTGAAATATTTGAACTTTGAAAGGGAGCATGCTCTACTTTATAGCTAAGACCTTACAAAAGATGAACTCCAGGCAGATATAAAATACACAAAATGAATGCACCTCTAATTATCAAGAAATGTATTCTTTAAATGCAACTAGTGTTAAGTACATGAATTTGACTTGATATCAACTTCTTGCAATCTCCTATACAGCAGCATTCAGACTGGGAGAAGGAGGGGCAAGACTGCGAGCCAGTCAGGGGTGCTGCATGCAAACATCCTGTCAAAGAACATGCTGATAGCAGGAGACAGCCAAATGAACAGATCGATAACCTCATCAGTTTGTTTCTGTTCTTTTACTGTTCAGTCAGCAGGGGGTGGGGAGAAAGCACAAATGTATTCCTTAGTGGAGAGAATGCGGTCATTTGTCTGTCTGTGCTGTGGTAGAGCGGTGTAAATCTCATAACTGTATGGATAGAAATACAAATAATTTGGCAGGTAAATCAGCTCCTTTATATGTACCGTATATACTCGAGTATAAGCCGAGATTTTCAGCCCATTATTTTGGGTGAAAATGTATTTATTGGTTTGCCTGGGGTTCAGCTTTAAGAAATATACAATTTCTCATGACTGCTGAAGGTATGGCACTAGAGGAGCATTACACTAGACTTGGTTATGCCATGTTTACCAGTTTACCATTAAGCAAGTCATGTCTGGGGGTGTTAACAGGATTATTTGTAAAATATTAGTGGAGAAAAAAAGGAAATGCTCCGTCTGTATAGTACACAGATGTCACTTGTGATGAGCATTTCATTCAGAGTGTTTGAGTTATTCCTTCCATCTTACAAACAGGTGGTTAGAAAACAGAAGAGCTAAAGATTCTACTTCAAATGGACTTCAACTGCCTTTCAAAAAATATTTAGAGCAGCTTGTGTGGAAAAACTGAAGAAGCCAATTTCCTCTTAATGACAGTATGTTTAATACAACCTTTATTAATAACTACATTTCATCCAAATGACTTAAAACACATAAAAACTATGGGTCTTGTGTACAAAAGCAACCTTTTTTTTTCTTCTTCTTAGTCCACTAAAAGCATTAAGAGCAAGTTCTAATACACACTTTCATACATGAGGCCATATTAGTTTGATGCACTGTATTTTACAGCTGCAGTCCAAACATGCTATGTATTACTCTTTTCTTAACTGCAGAAGACTTCAATGGGAAGTTGCTAAAACCATGTGCAAGGGCAGCCTATAGATTTCTCCCACTCCTTCAAGCTCTTTAGGAAAGTCGACAGCAAGCTTGTATTCAAGTGTTCAATTCCTAAGCAGCCTTGGTGAGAAGTCACGCTAATATTGTACCAAATGATCCTTTAATGCATGCTCAGTTTATGCAGGCATCGTCTCCAAGAACATAAAAAGAAAATAAGTCATATACTGTATATGCATTCATTCATATTTACAGGGGTTGTGTGGGGAAACCCCAGGAAACATTCGGGAGGACCCTAAGTTTCCACTTTTCCATATGTTCCTTCAGGAGGCCTGTAATGCTTTGGGAAAGCCTTCAGCTGCAGACTGCTAAATGCATATTTGCGACATCCCACATTCTTCATGGTGTTTTCCCGGCGACAGCCCTCACTAGGGAGAAAACAGGCAGAAAAAGTAAAATACAACCTGGACAAAAAACAGTGAAAACATGGGCAAAAGCAGACGCTTTTAAAGCACACTATGGATGCTAAAGGATGCAGATGCAAGTTAATGGTGCAGTATGTATGTGCAGACCAGCTTTTCAAGCAGGATTGTTTTCTTGTGGAATAAAAATGCTTTACCCGTTTTATGTTCACATGTAAAGCATGATGAGACCAAGGCAAACCGGGCTTGCTTTACTGTAGCTGAGCAGTAAAAGGATACAAATGTTGACCCAAGAACAACCATTACAAAAATGAAACATACAGTCACACAGGTCAGTTGAAAAACACATAATCTGACCTAAGCTTTTGAGTGAACAAATAGGCACCATGGAATAGGTTTACAAAAAAAAGAAAAAAGGACAAGTTGAGGAGAGATGTTCAAAGACAAAGCTGTGGACTCCTTACAGTACTTAGTAAACTCTAGACAATCACATGTTATGGAAAATAACACAATCTTATTGCAATGGAACTAACCTCTAAGATGTTTCCTGTCAGTGAAGAGCTGGCTGCTTGTGGCCTGGAGGACACAGCTGCATGGCCCATGACACTGTGCTCAATGTAACAGGGGATTATGAGAAAATACAAAAATATAGCCTATCACGGTTCACCAAAAAGCACAATCTTACTGCAATGGGAACAACCTCAATGTTATTACCCAGAAGGTGGTGGAAGCAGCAAAGAAAGGATTGGTGCCTGATAATGGGCCTTAATGTGTATGATAAAAATCAGCAGGATGCTTGCAGTAGTAGCGGGCTCAAATACATTTAGCACATGTACTAATAATGATGCCCTCCCTGTAAGACGAAGGGGAAAACCAAATCGAATTGCAGGCTTGCTATGCATTTTAGCAGAAACCAGATGATTGTTGTAATATTACCTTTTAAGTAACAGTGGTTTTCCCAAATCAATTTTAAAATACTTACCTCTGATTCTGCTATAAAGGATCCTAGAATATTTCTAAAATATGGGAATATATACATTAGAAACCAGTTGCAATAGATACAGCCCATTAGCAGGTATAACAAAAATTTAGGAGTACAGGGAGCGAGTGCAGTACACATGACCAAGATGGATAGGGCCAGTAAATGGAATCTTATGTGTAATTTGAGCCAACCTGGAAAGCACATAGTAAAAAAGTTTAAAGTGTGGTTTCAATTTCTCCTACGCCTATGAGATTTTTATGTTCAGGAGACCAGTTTGCAAAATCAAAATACTACACTAACCAAACCAATCATTACTTTCCTGACAAATACAGGTCCTCTTCTTTTCTTCTATCCAAGTTCTATATCACAATTATTCGCTAAGTGGCCAATGTCCACAGAGTCCACAGCTATGGTACCCTGTCTCAGAAGAGGTAAGCCTACTGTACAATATCAAAGCCAGTAGTATTTACAAAGGAAGAACTGGCTGAGGAGGGAGAAGGTTCTTCTCCACACAATTTCAGGATTCAGCCAACTCATGTTTGTTATTCATTTATAATTACTTCTCCACTGAGTAGAATAAATAAGCAATATAATAGCTATGAGGTTCAGAGTTTTTAATTGTAAAAGTAGGGTGATGGGTTTAATTCCTATTGGGGACATTATCTGATGGAGTTTGCATGATACTTCTTGTGGTCTGGTCTCCATACACAAACCTACTGGCATTTAACAAAGTTGGTCCTTGTGTTTGTATATCTGTTTGCTCTGAGGACTGTAGACTTGGGATTAGGGACCATAGTCAATGGCTTTACATACTCTTGAAAGTGTTGCATAATATTTTATTATATTAATAACGTTTACAGTCTCATGCATAAAAAGTAGAGTTCTTGCCTGTCACAGACAGCTCTCAGATTCTCCTTTTATTAGGAAAGAATTAAAAATTAGAAATTTAAAATAATTTGAACAGGATGCTACAAACAACTGCTCATCCTTCAGATTATTTTACGTATGAAGCCTGCAGTGTTGCACAATCCCACATTAATTTCTCAATAATAAATCACCCCACCCTGACGCCTATGCATCTGTCAAGACATCATAAAAAGCTGTTCTGACCAGTCTAAGTTGTGAATGTTTATGCTGTGCAATAAAAGGTACATCTATGGTTACATTCACTAGTGAGATATTAAAAACACAAGACTACTCTGCTGTATGACAACAATAAGTGTGATACACATAGTCACTAGTGTATCACAGAAGTCAGCAAATATCATTTTAATGAAACTCTAGTAAAGCAAAGTTTATGATCTAATCTATAAAAAGCTCAATTTAGTACAGGCATCTGCTGCATACTGTATATACAAATATAAACCCACCACAGCCGTCAATCCCATAAATGTAAACTCCCGACAATATTTATTATGTTTTTGTCCTATTTATTATACATATAGTTGAACTGTGGTATATGAAATGTCTGCAAACACTGCTTACTTTGGCATTTTGAAGGAAAACTGAGGCATAATACATCACAGGCTGTAATAAGCATTCAGTTCTGTGCAGAAGGCACTTTTTTTGGACCATACCATTGCCTCATCATCCATTTCAACACCAAGAGGTTTCACAATGGATTCCTCCCGAGTCGGTCCTGAACCTCAAAAGAGCGAAGATGCCCTAAGTAGTGGTGCAATTACAAATGGTGTGTGGGCTGTACTGCAGGACTAAGTCTAGCAATTATTGAAACAAGGAAATGCAGGAGGAGGCAAGTTAGGAAGATCAGTTTGATTCTTCACGTTAAAAAAGTTACATAAAAATAAATACTTTTTAAACAGCATGCATCTGAGGGGGATTCAACCATTTTAGGGTTCAGTCCATTTAAATGTACTCTAAAGCATTTACAGAGTCATTAAAGGCCCCAAAACAATAAATAATAGTTTTCTCAGATAAGCATCTATGGCTTTGGAAAGCAGACATGAGTGCCAATGTTCCCCATGTCACATAAAATGTGTAATGGCAACAGCAGGTGCGATATAAAATTCAATAGAATACTGTATCTGTTGGTGCGTAAGCTACATAGTGATAGTTGCATTTGCATGATTTAAATACAGAGCAGCATCAATACATGAGGTATGTTGTCATGAGGAAGCTATATATACAAGAAGGTCTGCTCCATTCCACTGAGCTGTTCCATACTCCAAATGTAAGATTGTAAGGCATAGATATAGGACACAGCTCAATCATTGCTCTTGGGTGCCTCTTTCCTTGTCCCAAGGTAGGTGCACATTTCCAGGTATACACTCTGCCCAGTCTTCATTTGCAACGAAATCTGGCCACCAGGTACGCTATGCTGAGGAACAGCCACACTATAAGTAAGTTAGGGCTGAGCGCTAGCAAAGGGACAGAGTAAAGGAGGCTGGGGTCCAGCCTGAAATCTCGGATCGGAACCAAGCCACTCAAGTTCTTCTGGGTGACTATTTCTCGCGTTCCAATGCTGTGAAGAGGATAACGTTTGGGGGGGCAGCAAAAGAAAAGGACCATGGGAATTAAATTATAGGCAAAGACCAACAGTGGAGAAAATAAAGAAGCAGGAGGGAGGACGCAACATAAAGAGAACGTGTTAGAAATGGACAGTATATTCGTAAGGCACAGATAAAGGTGATGTAAGTAAATTAAGATTAGCAAATTAGCAGAGTGAAAAAGGAGAGAAAAGAGAGAACAGAAAGAGAAAAACATAAGAAAAAAGCATTGTAAACTAGTGACGAGTAAAAGAAACAGACTTCTGGCAGGTTTTCATGTTTGACCTAGTTGTGACAGCCACTAGTCCATGCTACCATGCATCAACATGCCGCCAAGCAGTGGCAATCTGAAATGCAAGCAGACCATGAACAACCTTTACAGGATTTGACCCTTTCACCTTTAAAGATGTTGTTTTATACTACCATGTTAGTTACTTATATGGAGAGTCAATGAGATAGAGGTCATTGCTGCTGTGAGCAAGTGAAAGAATTACCTATTATTTGGATGATTACAACTAATTACAAATGTCTCACTGCCACACTTTGCTTGGTTATGTTTAATACAGACAGGGGTACACATTAAATATTAAAGGAGACTTGGTATATTATGCTTAAGCTGGTTCTGTCACAAACACTTTTTCCTTAGAAATTGAGATGCTTTTATGGTGCAGAAATTGATAACCTGGTTACATATGACAAACTGAACCATTCTAAAGACAGCTGCCACTGATGGGACTATATGCACAGGGCTCTCATGTCAAATAGAGATCCTTAATTGAAAATCAAGATGAAAATATTAGACTAAAAACTTGACCTAAATACTTAACTTCACCTAAAAACCCAACTCTGAGCTCAAGAAAGAAAATACCTTTTCAGTGCCGCCCCCACAAACACTGTAATGCTATACTCCTAAGTCTAGGAACTCAAGAATAAGGACTAATACTTACCTTATTCCTCGCTCTGGCAGGCTCCTTCTATGTGCAACTGGTCCCCCAAAGCCTCCTCCTTAAAAAGGCACTCCTGGTTGCGGTCGCACCCCCGCCTCCTCCACATACCATGCAGGGCTAATAACCCTGCATGGTATGTGCAGCCCGGAGTGTCACGGAGAAGATGAGAGCGCACCAAAGGGTTTTTCTTCCCCAGTCCAGATTTGGGCTTTGTTCCCGGAGTACCATTTTAATATTTTCTGCAAACTTACATTGGTCGAGCTTGTCTCAATGCAAGTATCCATATCAGATATGCGGAGGGCCGCTGAGGATGCTGAAAATCACTGTAGTAGTCCACGCTACATATAGTGATAGCCGTTCACAAGAGACTTGCTGACACCTGAGTATCAGGCTTTCTAAATGTCAGACACTGCATGGAGCTTTCTAAGTGTATGTTTGGAAATTATTTTGATGCATCAGAAGTAGAGGTTCTGATATTACCAGATTTATGAGAAAAGATTTGGATGCACTAGAGCATTACAGCAATAAAAACACAAAGTAATACATTTCAACTCTGTTAGGGGTCTATCTTTAATTTTAAATCACACACATGGCCAAATGGACACAATAACCAACAGTTAGGGGCATATTTTTAAAGCAATGAATGTGACATTCACCAAACATTCATTGCAGGTGAACCAATCACCTTATGTTAAACCACATGGACCAGGAAGATTCAATTGCAATGAATGTTTGCTGACTGTCACATCTACTGCTTAATCCTTAGAGTAATACAGTAGAATACAGTCGCTCACACTGTATATGTGATGCACGTTACTTGATATGTAAGATTTGTACTGAGACAAGTAACTCAATACAGAGAGGAGCTCAAGTGTACTGAAGTGTACACCAAATCTTCCCTATTTGCACAATCTTTAGATACCTGATAGCATTAGAAATGTGTGTATACTAAACCTAGGAAAGGGTCAAATAAAAGAACAAAACAGAAAGGGTAAGATGAAACTGAGAATGAACATAAAAATAGACATATAATGGTAACGCCGAGGAGAACAAGCTAGAGGGCATCTCTGAATTACAAACGGGAAAGGCTGCAGACTGGTATAATATCATTTCTTGTGTAAAGTGCAGGGTTAGATGTGAATGCCTTGTTTATATGAGCACATTAAAAAGGAAATAAAATGCTACTTTTTGAAATATTTTTTATTCCACAGCTGCTTCTGCACATAGAACATTGATGCAGGTATGTCATATCAACAATGTGAGATGGCAAGGGGAGGCAAAGTTGCGACAAACATTCAAACATCATGATTGCTCTGACAAGGAGTTGGGATGTTTTAAAGCAGAAGTAGGCAAACTATGGCCCCTGAATTGTTTGGTGACCACTCCGAGCATTGTCTGCTGGTGGTCAGTTCCACACCATCTGGAAACAATAGGATGCCTACCTATGCTCTAATGTATACCTGCAAGAGAACCAAAATAATCTGCAGATGTGCTCCCAATCATAGTAAAGGCTGCAATCTTTAGAACACTTTTAAAGGACATAGAGTCTTGCTTTTAGTATTTTCATCTGTGCAGGCAGATGGTGTTCATAATTACATTTTGCAACTCTTCTAAGGATCAGAATGCCTAAAGTATTAACGTAATCTGAAAATATTCAGACCAAAATGGCATTATAGCATAATTCTATATGAGAATACAAATGTTTTGCAGAAAAACACTCTTGCCCTATAGAAATGCTCATAACAACCTAGCACAGAATTTGTATCTTCTTGAAGAAGTAATTTTATCTCTAATTTAGTTTTTGGGAAGCTCACATCTGTAGCTCATCCAGTTCTTGTATTGAAGCATTACGGAACAACAAGCTGTCCTTACCTTCTCATACACTCCAAAGCTTGTGTAAAGACCTGCGGGGCCATCCCATGTTCATGTTGCAGAATTAGGCATTGCTCCAGTGTCACCGACATAGCAGTACGATCCTTGGCACTTTTACAGCTTGTAAACCGGACTCCATTGAGTCGCCGGCATATCTGGTTAAGGAAAATGGACATAGAGTTTAAAAGACATAATTAGAAACAGTACACTAGTATAATGAGCAAAAAAAAGCATGTCTTCTCATTTTTATCACACCTTTTAAACCCATGGTGTTCAACTCAACCAAGCATGGCCTTCTGCTGATTGTTGCACAGCCATGGGACCCCAGTAATCGGTATTGGGAGGATTAAAGGGACTGTAATGGCAGATATCATGTAACATATTCCCAGTCTCCTGTAGCATATCTACAGTCTCCAACCACATCTGCAGCATGGTCTCTGACCATTTCCTCAAATATGCCTGCAGGCTCTGACAGTCTGCTGTAGGATTTCACATACTGAATATTATGTGTGGACCTTTGATGAGGTCAGGGGTTGCCGTTTAGCCCCCCCCCCTATAAATTGTAAGATTGCTACCAGAGGATTAATCTAAAATACTGCTTCTGTGAACCTTATGTGTTCTAGGCACTAGAAGAGAAATCTGAAAGCTCTTTGTTTGGTTGCAAGTGTTACATTTCTAGTACAGGCAAGGGCAGGACTGCTACAAGCGGTGAAAAAAAGTCAAACCCTCTGGTAAAAGACTGAAGAAAAATATATTTCAAAAACACTAGCAATAGCTCGTATGAACCAGGTCACTGCTACAAATATTTTTTTATGTTTTACACAAGTTTCTTGAAAATACATTGGCTGGCTTGTGGAAACAAAAGGGTAGCAGCATGGTAAGGCTGAAAACTAGTGACCCTGATGACCCTTACTGTATAGGTTCTGACGCCTCAAATGATAAAACACAAGTTACACACATAAAAGGGGAATGGGACCTCTGTTGGTCAGGATATGTCACAATTTTTTATTCAGGGCCACAAATGACAGTGTTGTTTAGTAAAGTGCCATAATAATTACAATGAAAGTAAGAATGGGTATGGAAAGTGTGATTAACCCATGACTCTTAACCCATGAGCTTTCTGAGCATTCATGGTCACAGAGCAGTCTTCCAGAGTTTACTAGTCACTTACTTCTGAGAATATTGTGCCTTAGCTAACGTGCAAGCTAAATTCCCAGCAGACATACAACTTGTAGGCCCAAGTAGGGTATAGGTTTTTAATCTCAACGTGTTGAAAAGTTGCATTCAGAGCAGTCACAGAGGATAAAACTCAAAACAGAGCAAAAAGTTATTGTCTAAATGGTATATTTTTTGTCAATATAAGCGTTGATTTACTAAAAGGAATACTCCGTCACAGCATGGTCACTTTACAAAGGGATGCAATAGCATGGTCAAATGCATATACAAATGCAATAGCATGGTCACTTTACAAAGGGATTTTTCACCTAGCTTTGTGAATATGGTGAAAATAACTTTGCAAAGAATCTTGTTTGCACATGATTGGATAAAAAGAAGTCAGCACAGCTTTCCCATATTCACTAAACTAAGTGAAACTCCACTTGCAAAGTGAACATGCTCTACTCCTTTGTTAAATAAACGAAACTAAAGATCATCCACAGTACGTCTGCTATAAATAATGCTGTACAATACCTCAGCAGCTTGCCAAAGGATGTCAACATTTTTGTTTTTCCGTGCATGGACATTTTGTCCTAGGAACCTGAGCAATTCAGGAACACATGTTTGACTCCGAGACCGAGGGAGACCTAAAAAGAATAAATGGGAAGAAGACGCTGATTTAAAACATGACCACATTTGTCAATCACTAGATACTAAACTTCTACAATATATGTATTTTTAATAATATAGTACAAACAACAATGACCTGCATTGACCATCAGTAACCCAATTATATCAGTTTAGAATGCTCCAAACAATAAAAAAAACCTTGATTCGTTCCAATGGGTAACTTCACTTTGCATGCAGCTGTTTAAAGCTAACTGATATCTCACGCTTAAGGGATGAAGTAAATTAGTAGAATGTTTACACAGTTGAAAAGTAAAACTTACAGTCCTCTGGCAAGACTTCTTTGAACTGCTCATAATACGAATTAAGTCGCACCAAGCTCTCAATGTTTATAATTTCTTGCAAGGATGTATCTCCAAACCTGTAACCATCGTAGAAAATATAAGGTCAGATGAGAGAAATGCAAGTGCTCCACCAAGTTGGCCAAACTGATAACAAATTAAGGCTTTAGAAGCAACTTTTATTAAAGTGTACAAGAAAAATGGTTAATCCTCATACATAGGAGCACCGGTTGCAGAGACTAGCAAACATTTCCCATTTATTCTGACCACTTTTGTCATTACCACTTTCTTTCTAGTTTAGACCTTCCAGGAGGTGTCAATGATTAGAGCTAGGGTTGCAGGTTCAAGTAAAATAGCAAAGCAACAATAGTCAGGTGGATTTGTGGGTACAATGCCAATTGCAGCCCACTTTCTTTTTAATGCAGCAAAGCAGTACATTAATTCTTTACTACATGTGTGTGTGTTTGGGCGTTTTAAAACGTACAGTTTAAAATAGAGGTGCACCGAAATGGAAATTTTAAAACCGAAACGAAACCGAAATAAAAAAAATGGTCAGGCCGAAACCGATACCGAAATTGTTCTTTATTTTAATTTCTTTTCAAATATTTTATTTTTATTTATTTTTTTTATACACTTAATTTTTTTATATTTATTTATTCCTTTTTTATTTTTTACTTTACTTTTAAAAGGGCTTCGTGGAAATATTAGGGGTCTAAAACAGACCCCTGATATTTCCCTTTTAAAATAGAAAAAGAGATTGAGGACACAAAGTCCTAAATCTCTTTTTCTGTATCCCCTGTTATCGATGAACAGGAATCCTCTATACTGAGTGTTCCTGTTCATTGATAACATGAGGACAGAGTATGTTTACTATAACCACAACTATGAATGAACAGGAGGTGATGTAGATCACTCCCATTCATTCATAATTGAGGATATAGTAAACATACCATGTCCTCAATTATCTACAAACACTCAGCAATTTGCTCTCTGACACGCTGTCACAGGAGGCTGAGCGAGCGGTGCAGGGAAGAGAGCTCAGCCTCCTGCGATGACGGCCACTCACAGCGCTCTCCTTCCGCAGCGCTCGGCCGGCCGGCTATCACAGTTTCTCTCCTCCCCGCTGGGGCACATCACAGTATCCAGCGGGGAGGAAAGAAAGCAGGGATGCGCCGATGTATCGGCAGGAAAATGGCACTTTCGGCATTATGCCAAAAGTGCCATTTTCGGCCGATATGTTTCGGCACCCAATATATCGGTGCATCCCTAGTTTAAAAAAGTTGTTTTGGCTTTGGTCATTAATGAATGCTCAATGTCTCTTACAGCAGAAGTTAAACTTTAAAAAAAAAATTCTAGAAAGTTTTTGGGGGAGAATAGACACTAAGTCTCTGTCTGCCAAAGAACAGCTACTTTTAGTAGTTTTGTATCTCTTGTACTCAGTATGGCGCACGTGCCATACAATTTACTAACCTGGGTCCTGCCCAGTATCTGCAGTATGCTGGGAATGGAGCCAGGTGCCAAGGACGATGTAACTCCTGTGCAAATGCGCAGGAGTTACGTCATCACAGACAGCACATTTATTAACAGAATGACTAGCAACAGAGGATATTGTGGCAGCAGCGGACAGAGATGCAACTGACAAAGCAGATCAGTCAGGGCTGGAGGAGTGCACACTTGTCAAGTAAGTGAGCCATAATGTGCATACTTGCATATTATGACTAGAGCCCACATGCCACAGCGGACTTTACTTCCACTTTAGGAAGATTTACTTTTTCATAGCCAACCTAGCACTAAAGAACCCATCACCCTAATACTCTCAACAGCACCTTCTGACAAAGTCAGTGCTAATGCACTGCTGCAGAAAGAAGAATAAGCTTGGGAAAGCCACTTCTGTCAAAACATATGAGAATAAGCAATGACTAAAGTGATCTAGAGACAAAAAGACAATGCCCAGCTTGGCATGCAGAACACAATAGCAAAAAGACCTTTATAACAAAAGAAGTTCAAACAAATGTCCAAGTTTACTCTAGACCAGGCTTTCTTAAACTTTCTCGTGACCCCTTTTTGGGCGAGGAAATTTGTTTGAGCATAGACACACCAACCGACACGAGGGGAGAGATGGTGTCTCTCCCCTCGTGTCGGTTGGTGTCTCTCTGCTCAAGCGCCACGTCGGTCTGTGTCTCTCTCCTCTACCCCTTGTTGAGTGCGTTTGTCATTTGTTTTGCTCTCTCCTCTACCCCCCCGCCCCCTAGCGTCCATGGTCAGACGGTCGGTGTCTGTCATTACCAACTATTACTACTACTACTAACCCCCTCTCCCTCCTTTCCTTTACCACCAGCAGCTGTGCTACACTTCTGCTGGGTTAAAGAAAGCTCCGTCAATGGGAAAAAAAAAAAAAAAAAAACACTTCCTGCGCGCACGTGCTCAGGAAGGTGCCAAGTGCACAGGGGGTCCCTTAACAACTACACTGCACTGCACTTTAAACGTAAATAAAAAAAATCTTGCTTGGAACCCAGGCCTCCCCGGCCACCTGGGCCCCTCACATAAGTATCGGCCGTACCCCCCTGATGGCAGTCCTAGCCGGGGATTCAGATCGCGACCCCCCGTTTACTTGCGGGTCCCCACATGGGGTCGCGACCCACACTTTAAGAAGCACTGCTCTAGACAATGTGTTTGTGCATATGGAGGAGGAAGCATAGAGGCTTTCTGGCTGTCTTGGGAGAATTAAATCAGGCCAATCAACCTATCTCCAGCAGGGCTCCATCAATTATACAAACATTCTCTGATCCGACTATAAATGGGATTTGGTAAACAGTCTCTAGTGTATTTAGGCAATGTGGCAGTGGTACAGTCAGGTATCTATCACAGTTTTATTCAGTAATAAAAATTTGTTTTAATTTAGAACTTATAAACCCATTCCTGTTAACACCCACTGCCTTATTGAGCATACAACACCCACTGCCTTATTGAGCATACAACACCCACTGCCTTATTGAGCATACAACAGTGAAACCGGATGAAAATATAAAGCTGAAATGAAAGGGGACAAACTTTGATAGAAAGAACATTTCCTGCTGTTTTAGAGGATTGTTATCCTGCTTTATCAAAGTGTACACTAAGGACCAAAGTAAACTCTGAGCAGCAAGGCTCTTTCATCCTTGTTTATTATAATCAAGTCTTTCCTAAAAGTAAGATATCTGCTGTAAATACATTGCTTTTGGTATACTATATGGCCTTACTTTTCTGCCAGTGTCTGCTGTTCATTAATCCCCACATTAAACAGGACTGGCTGAACCCTGAGCAGCATCCCACTCTGAATTTCACGAGGAAGAACATCAAACAAAGCGCCCGGTAGAGGAATCCGCACATTAAATCCATCCCTATAGAAACATAAATGAGATAAAAAAACGGATTTTAATATTGTCTTGGGTTACTACAAAAGCATCTTTTGGAAACAATGGAACAGTCACTTTGAATACTCAGCCATGCCCATGAGAAAATACACCCAAAGTAGTCACCAGCTGCATCAGATAAATACTTTAAGCAGCTACTTCCATACACAGTTGTTATACAAATATGTGGAAGGAAAGCATATTACAGCTACTGCTGAATCGATTTTTATACCGTACACTTATCTTTTTAAAACAATTTTTTTTCCAGGTAAACACGTGCTGAAGTGAAGAGGAATATTTCATGTAATTTTGTTCATAATCAGCCACATTTAGTAATGCATCACATTTTAAAGTAGAGCGGTGGGCAAAATAAAATGTGGGACTACCGCTCCGGCGGTCTAAGGATACATGAGATCTATCTATCTATCTATATACATACATATCTTTGTTACTTTAGACCCAAGACAAAAACGAGCACTTAACCCTTGCAGTGTGGGGGAAGCCCCACTGCAAGGGTTACGTTTTATTCTGCCCAGCGTTCTTCTTTAAGGTAGTCAAAGCCAAAATGAATCTTCAGTTTAAATCAGCTAAATACCTTTTGAGGTGCATCAAAACAAAAGTTGTTCAATGTCTTACAGTTTGTTTTCTTTCTGAAGCACAGCCTAAGTAGAAAAGCCTATCGCCTGCCACAAACTGTAGAGTAGGACCCTTGCTCTTTGTGGAGAAGCAGTATTCTCTATGCAGAGGTACAACACACCACACTCCCCCCTACCGAGTCAGACCTATAGCTGCGCAATCAGCAAACCGCATATCCTCCAATGACTGGAGAGCTTGAGCTCTGACTCAGCAGCAGGTGTATCAGACCTCTGCAGAGAGACCATTGCTTCTACAAAGAGAGTAAGGGTCTTTCTCTACAGCATGCTGGCAAGGAACAGCTGTTCTATTAGGGCTGTTTTTTTTTTTTTGTTCTTAAAAGACAAAACAACTGAGACTTTGTACACTTTTCTTTTAATGCTAATGTACAGTAAGGGTCAATGTTTATAAAGCAGAACTTTGGGTAGTGCGCTGAAATAACTAAACATGCCGCCCAGCTGATGAAAATTATAATGCTTGTCTTTCCAGTGGATGACAGAACAGAGATAGTTACTTAACCCGCGGTCCTGCGACAGCTGACGTTCCAATCCTCTTCTCTCCAGCACTGGAAAGTTGGTGCCCACTGGTACAATGCAGAAGCAGCGGTGGCCACAGCTCCTGCATTGTACCTGATCATGTCAGTAAAAGGGGGAATGAAATAAGAGGCTGGTTTAAGGTCATTTATATGCTGTTAAATCATCCCCTGGAAAGAAAGATAGGCTTTAAAAGACAACTTACACTTTGTGAACTGCCTAAATACAGACACAGCAATGGTTTAGTGCTGTGTGTGCATACTGCAGTTAGGGTGATATAGCAAGGTTTATCCCGCTGCACCTTCGCTATTTGCAGCACAAGCAGTCTGTGGGCAAAAAAGTCTCCTCGTCGCTAGGCCTTGGCACCCATTATATGACAATCTTTACAGGTTGCCGAGACTCTGCCATTGCATTGTTAAATAATAAGGGAGATGCAATTACATGTATACAGACAGGAGTTCATTTATAGAAGGCCTAAATAGATGCCTTTCAAAACAGACCAACGAGTAGATGTTTTTATTCATTGAACCAACAGAGAACATACATAAATGGGGAACTGTAAATCTGCTCACCGGTTTCCTGTTATGACCGGCAGCATATCACTTGATGCATTCGATATGGCCTGAGTGACTTTGAATGTTACATTCCTCAAGTCCATTATACCCAAACTCATATCTTCCAACATGGCCAACTCTTCTCCTAACAGGCAGATAAATGTTGAATTAGAATGTTGATAATGAATGCATTAAAGAAAAAGACAGAATGGCAATACAACTGTGTGCAAACATTCAAATGACATGTTTAACTAGGTTTCTTTCCTATACTTTACCTAGGTTTGTGTCTATACTTACCTTTAAGTGTATTTGTTAAAGTTTATTATTAACAGAAATATATTACAGCAAGGATGCTTCTTAAAAGCCCAATTGAACTCTCAGTTTAAATCCACTACGAACATTGGAGGTGCATCAGACCAAAAGTTATTCAATGTCTTCAGTTTGTTTTCTTTCTAAAGCAGCTAATGCCCAAGTAGAAAGACCTGTGTTCCGCCAGCATGCTGCAGAGAAGGATCCTTTGTGCTCTGTGGGAAAGCAGCGATAGCTCTGCAGAGGTCCAACACACCACCTGCCAAACCAGAGCTAAAGCTCTCCAATCAGCAGGGAGAATGAGCTTTGCCGATTGTACAGCTATAGGTCTGACTCAGTAAGGGGCGTGCTGGAGGAACTTTTATATACGATAAGACTTTAATAGAGATCTATGAACGTTTTACAATTTTATTGGCTCATAAGACTTTTTAATGTATAGGATTATGTGACTGTTGACTTGATATGTAGTAGTATGTGGTGTTAAAATAGGAGGTTTGAGTGCAGCACACAGTCATATAGACTTGTGTGATTTAGTGGCAGTTACTAAATGTAGTACTCGCAGCTGGGATAGACATTGGCGCAAAGCTTTTTTTTTGTTTTGTTTCTTTATAGTAAGAAATCTCAACTGGAAAAAGAAAAAGAAGTTTCTGAAAACAAATTGGGATGGGGGGGAGGGGCTGGGGTCAATCTTTATCTGGAAATTCACCCTCTCAGTCAAGAATCTGATCTATTTTTTGTAGTTGTGTAAACTTTTATGGAGTTCCTCTTCCAAAGAAAAGCCACAAAACTTTTAAGGATTCTTGGACCGTCAAAAGCGTCTCTCCCTCTCCATCCCCTAATAGTTAAGTTACTTGTTAAATGGATTATGAGGTTGTATTTGTCTCTTCTTCTTGACCTCGACATTAGATGTCCAGAACTGGATAGGAAATTTCATGCTGTATACTTAACAGGCAAGGCCTATGTGTATTACCTGTGCCCTTTATTTACAATAACTCTGTTCGCTGGCTTGCTCACAATTCAGCCTATGTACTGTTGTTCCTGTACAACCTCGTCTTTGTCATAAATAAATAATTTATGTGGCTATCTATAGTCACTATCTGCAGGCTGCTCAGCTCCTCGACACTTAAGCCAGCTATACACTGTACAAATATTACACAGTGGGTGGCCTGGTCACAACCTTTCCCATTCAGCATCCTTCGATCAGAAGATCGAAGAAGCTGGAAAATGTTTGGCCGAAACAGTTACAGCAGCCAATCAGCTGTCATCACTAATCTGGTATTCTGACAGTGGCACCCACGCCGCAGTCAGAATTCAAAAGCACACAGCAGGAACCTGTTATATATTTTTTTTTGTTCAGCCCACATGTTGAGATGAAAAAATATAACTGTGTACACCCAGCTTTAAGGAAAACTCTGAATGCTACCACAATACCCTCTGCCAATGTACCAACCCCACCTATCTCTGTCACCTCCATTTGAGGGAAAATGAAAGGACAAAAATAGATGCTATGCTTGTATAAATCCTAGAAAGAAGAGGGAGCATGTTCTGATAATGGAAAAGAGCTGGTACGCTTAAAACCTTATATATCCTAGGTCGGGAATGATCATCTCCGGATGCAGAAAGATTGCGTCCACTGGGCCAATCGTCTGTCCCTAACTGCAGGATGACATCTCAATTAGGGTTGCACAGATACCAAGTACAGTACTCAGTACGAGTACATGTGCCGATACTTTTGAGCTACAAGACTACACTAGAGAAATATTCAAAAGTTAGGAGAGCAGCCGTCATTTGTAAGGAGCACACGGAGCTCCTGGGATTTGTACATCTCTGTTTTAATGTATGATTTTGTTTTTATAAATATAAAGGGATGCACAGATACCAGTTTTGCGAGTACGAGTACTGGTACTTGCCGAGTACTTACAAGTACGAGTACTGATACATTTTCGTTTATTGTCATGTGACAGTTTTTCTAAAACAATACAGACTAATGATTTCAGGACAGTGGTGGAGTGCCAGAGCCAGGCCCCAGCTGCAACCCCTGAAACCCTGGTAGTTCATGAAAATGCCAAGTATCTGCACTGGTACTCGAAAAAGTATCTGTGCATCCCTAATCTCAATAGCTTTAAACAACTGCGGCCACTGTCAGCCTATCATTGCTCTTGTGCATGTTCCCCGGCCACAGCTAGTGACACATACACACCTGTGATTCTAGCCACAAGAATCCGCTGACTCTTACTGCTGGAATTCACAGTGTAGCTCTAATCGCACGTGTGAATCGGGCCTAAAGCAGAACATATGTAAGTGCACCAGAAAATAAAATTACTTTACTGTCTAGTAAGAATTGCTCTTATTTGTGCAAACAACTCACCATAGGTGCTGAGGAGGCTTTCAAACTGAGCAAGCAGGCCAATTGTGTACAGCTGTCGTAGAAAACCATTATCATGAAGGCAGTTTCTCAGTTTGATGATAAAGCCACAGATCAGAGCTGTTAACTGAAACACAGAAAACACATTTCCTAGAATTTTTATTGCTTCAGTGAAAATGCAATATTGCATTACATACTACAGACACACACAGTACCTCAGGTGTATTTACATATTTAATAACAATATAAGATGTGGGAACAGTAGAGAAAAAATGTAAAAGATTGTTGACCAACAGGACAGGTGTATGCCACCTAGGTATTAATGGAATTGTTAATGAATTATGCATCTTCTGAGATCAGTATAATTAAAAGAGTTTGCATTGCTGACTTCATTAGTATTCTAAAGCCAACTGTCATAGCTTATTAGTTAAAATCCCCTCTTCTCTTCAAGTATGTGTGATGGGAGTCAGTAATAGTCAGTGTTGTCCCCTTGAGCTTGGGTCACTTTGATATGCTAAAATGGCCAACTGGCTGTGCAATCACAGGTGGTGTTTTGAGAGTGTCAGGGCCGGTGTTGACGAAGGAAGAGAACATTGAATAAGACTGTCCTCAGAGACAGAATGGAGCCGAACATTAATTTATGGCCACTAATTATTATTTTAAAGAGACCTCAGCTGCCATCCAATCACTGTCATGAAAAATATAGGATTGTGTTCTTTGGCCCAATCATGGATTCCTCATGTGAGTGAATGGGAGCAACTAGGATAAAGATGGATAGGTTAGGGCCATCAGTAAGACTTCCCTGGAACAGGGGACAACTAAAGCTATGCTTCGAGAGAGAGAAACTGCAAAGCCATTTTCTTGAGAACGCTTAATCACCAGGAAGTCCTGTTCAATAAGGAATTTGTAGACCAGCAACAACAAAAGTCAAGTGACTTAGTGTATTCAGTTACAGAAAACCATTGTATGTCTGTATTTTGTATTGCTTTACCAGTAACTAAGTAGTTTGTGTACATAGCATTGTTGTACAGTAAAAGTATGTTATTACTACTACTACTGAGTCAGTTTCCTTGGCTTTACTACAAGAATCAGATAAACAAATAGGTGTAAGAGTTTGCAAAGCAAACACTGGGGTCTCGTCCGAGATGAGCAAAACAATGGGGTCCCATTCAGGATAAAACATTTGGGGGTTAGTGGCCAGGATACGCAAAACACCTGTCTAGTAGTTTTCCTGTTAAGGTTGGTCACTGGTGGATCCATGAAGGGTATAGACCTTTCAAAGATAAACAGTACCAACACAGTCTAAGAGGGGGCCCAGGACCTTTCAGGGTGTTTCCTGCACCCATAGAGGAATACTTTCAATAGTGGGTGTAATTGAAAGGTCTTTGCAGCTCTTAGAGGTCTGAAAGACCTAAGGCTAGAGACAGCAGGCATATTCTCCAAATGTAAAGTAGCATGCACTGCATGAATAAGGTCTGAAATGAGCCTCTGTAATTCTGAGGTGATAGCATGAGACTGTGGTGTCTCTTCAGAGATAGACTGTTGGAACTCTAAGTCAGAGAGGATCGACAGGTGGCCTAGTGTGTTCTATGGCTTCAGGAGGGGGAGAGATAGACTCTGTAAAGAGAGTGAGACTCTGATGGTGCTGGGGCCAGTATCCATGAGGAATTGGGTGAGTGAATTTAGCTACAAAGCTTTGAGCAGTTGCAATAGAGACCCCTGACAACAGGGTAGGGCATTTGGCCAGCGTCACCAGATGTCAGATTACATGTCCTGGTTTCCTCAGCAGGAAGTATCTCAGCAGTGATGTAACTAGGCCCAATGTCCCAGACAAGGCCTCAGGCACTGACAAACTAAGGCGGCTGGTGCTGATGGGGGTAGGACGGCCGGAGGTGACCATGTCACTGTAGATGGGCAGTAGGAACAGACTGGAGTTCCATGTGGTGCTTTGCAAAGCAGAAGCATTAGAGGCATGGTGCTTCCTCTATGCTACAGTAAGTGGTGCGAAAGAGAGAGCAAAACATGTGTGACACTCACTCGCAGTAGTGGGAATATTGAAAGGTGCCAAGTGGTCCAAATACTGAGGTATCTATGGGTGCAGCAGCCTGAATAGCTTTACTCAACAGAGTCAACAGAGTGAGCAAATGCCAAAGTGTCCTCTGGACCTGGATAGCACTCCACAGCTACCTTTTACCAGTACACAAAAATTTGGAAAGCACCACAATGCAAAAAACAGTTTACATTACAGGCTAGATCCACATGTCCAGGCCAGTGGGGTCTGGGTAAGGCCCTCCAAAGTCAGACTGAAGAAAGGTCAATCCAGATAGCTGCTATACAGAGAACAGCTCAAGTAGCACAATAGTGAAGAATCTTGACTGAAGTCAATTGAAGAAGAATCCACAAACAAAATCAAGGTAGAGGTGGAAAAAAAAAAAAGACATCCATTCTCCTAAGTCCCTAATAAAACTAAGGTATGCTGGATAAAATGATCCTGGGACTGGCCTACAATATTTGGTTTGCCAGTGTCAAATCCTCTTGAAGGCTGCAGGATAACTTGACAGTATCTGAATTCCTGTGTCGCTCAATGGATGAGAAAGAAAGATCTTTTGTTTAAGTTCTTCAGGAAAACATGTTTAGGAGATGGAAAGCAAACCAAGCTGTGGTATTTTTGAGTGTGCGATATAATTTTATAACTCCCATCTGTATAGCTGAGCTGCTGTGCTACTAAATATTTAAGATAAATGTACTGCCTGGGAAAACGGGGAACCCTCAGCTTCAGACTGCTATTCATCTGAAGGCAACACATTTAGATCTACTCCATTATTAACCAAAAGTTATTCTATGCCTGAAACTGAATGTCTTGTCTATAAGCTGTATTTGGGAAAATATTATGAAAGCTTGAAAAACTTGTGACATACTGTTTGACAGAAGACAACATCTCGGCGGTACTGGAGACTTAAGCACAGGGCAATGGTGGGAGCACTGTCCTGCATTAGAAGGAACACCATGGCTTTCTTTGCTTTATCACTCATCATAGCTACACAGTCTGTCAGTGTGCTCAGTAAGGGGTAAAGGGCCTCACTCCATTCTCCTGGGGGAAAGAAAACATTAAAAATTTAATATATACATTGTCCAAACTCCAACTTACCTGTGCCAAAAGGGTCTAACACTAGAAAGGTCTTGTGGACCAACACTGCACACAAAGTGATGATTTTAGAATCGGGAATGCCAATCAATAAACATTGGTAAACTAATTTTAGAGTAACAGTTTCAGATAAAAAGGTTAACTATTAAAATGTTTAGGGAACAAAAAGCAGATGGATTTTTGATATTGGTACGGACTAATGTAACACAGATCTATAATCGGCAAAAATGTATGGCAATAGCTACATGGCTTTATCAATAGTGGCTTCTTGGCTGTTTGGACCTTACACAAATATACCTTTAAGTTACCCAAAACATATTCTATTAGATCAATTTACTACTTACAAATGTCTGAGAAACGCATTGGTATGAAAAAATTGCAGCTGACACAGGGGGTCAATAAAACTAGTGGAAGTGAATATACATGAAAGAACATAACATAGCATAAGGGCAACTACTCATCCTGGGGATAAGGAGACTAAATAGGGAAGGAAAAACTATTTTCAGATGTGTGAGAATAAATGCCTGTAGTCCTAATTAGTGCAAACCAGTAGCACGGGGCCCCAATTTAAAAATGATTGAGCACTAACTTTACTAGAGTATAGGTAAAAAAACATTGACCCTTAACATTTCAAAGCCTTCTGTTATGAAGAACCCTGAATGGATGAATTTAAAAACATTATTTAATTACACTATTAAAAGATTATTTTACGCAATAAGGTACTTTAAATATTAATACTACTAAAAAGTCAACTAAAGCAGCGGAACCTGCCATAGCAAACTAAAGGCTAGGAAAAAACAGAATTTCCAAATGAATAAAAAAAGCAATGAATGAAAAAGTAGCACATACCTGGACCGACCTCTTCTGTAGTCAAGCTGCTATCTGCACAGAAATGGAGGTGCAACATGCATGGTTAAGGGGCAGCAAACAAAAAGTCCCAAGAAAAACATAAAAAAATAACCTGCAAGCAAAGGTCTAAGCATCATAAATCATTAGTACTAAGCTTGCAGCTGTAAGTAGCAGAAAAGCAGGTTTGCAAACACCTAGATCTGGCTACATGCAAGCTGATCATTTTGATATGCAGTTTTCTCTAAAGTAACCTCTGCTTATGCTTTTTTCGCCATATGATCAGTTTATCTCTGCATCTGAGAAAATATGCATCTTTTTGCACTCCCCACTTAAAAAACACAGATATCCTTTAAAGCCCAACTCCATGCAATTTTAAAAGTTGTTTTTTTTATTTTTATTTTTAATTTGCCCCAGCAGTAGATAACATTTATAAAAAAGGAAGTTCTCGCTGTAATTCTCACCTCCACTTTGGTACAGCTTCCCCTGCAGCAATGCCTTTTTGTCACTAGATGTCCTCAGTCCTGTTGACTGAAAACATGCTGCGAGTGCAGATCACCATTGAGCCATGCACTCACAGTGTACTAATTCTGAAAGTGGCACAGACATAATGATGTCAGCGCCACTCTCTGCATCACTGAGGACAGCCCAATGCCATAGAAGTGATCAAAAGGACTTCCATGTGACTAGCAAGAAGACCAATAAGTACAAAAAAAGCACAGAGTTGGACTTTAAGAGCAATTCATTTATTGGAGTAACCTACAGTTACAAATTCTAATGATCATTCAATGCTTTAAGACATTAACCTGGCATTTGAATAACTTTTCACAATAACCATTTCAATACATTCATCAATATGCTAAAGGGGATTTCTTTGGTCTCAGTTTTTGTAACTGGCATAGTTCACCATGCTCATTAAACCAAAATTTGGGTAGAATTTACTAAAACTGGAGCAGGCAGAATTTGGAACAGCTGTGCATAGTAACCAATCAGCGTTCATCCTCAGTTAAGATTTAAAAATGAAAGCCAGAAACTGATTGGTTGCTATGCACACTTGCTCCAGATTTTGTCTGCTTCAGTCTTGCCAAATTTCCCTTAATGTGTTCCACAAGCTGGCAAAGTAGGAATACTACTGGTGTTAAAAAAAACGTAAAACAAAGCAACACAAAACAAGATTATGCATATAGATTATTTTAGTATCATGGAAGCGAGACCACTGTACAGATGTTGGAAAATCATTTTATATGTACAGTAATTTCATGTAACGGTAATATTTTTTACCAAGCCTTCAAAGCGTTAACAGTGCATTGATGCAATGCCTTAGGGAAAAGTTGATAAGACTGTAAACAGGCTCCAGAAATAGAGAGAAATCACATGTCCACACTCCATGGACCAAATGTCTACCGGTTTAATATACTGGCATACAGAAACAGATAGCCCTGAGGTAACACGGTATATTTAGCATTACTTTCCTGCTGACAAGCTACAAAAGGCTTTCGAAAAGCAGGCAAATTTATTATTATTAGGTTTATTTTTTAGTTTTAGTGTCTGGATATATTTATTGTTTGGTGCACTAGTACATAGAATATCCCTGTAATACTAATTGACTGGCATGTTCATATCAAATCGATATCTTCTACAACAATTACAAATGCAAAATTACAGGGACACTAAACTGAGGGGTTAAATCTTCAAACTTAAATCAAGTACCCTATTAACAAAAATGTATCTTATTTGTGTATCACTCAGCTGTAGATCCACAAATCATCTCTGAATTGGTGCTGACACTCTCCTTCCTTCTGGAGGGTGGCTACTTCTGTTCCCCATGGTCCCTGTGTGTGTTGTAAAGTAGTCACCACTCTAAGCTCACTCCCATGATGGACTTCAATCTCATGTTTAGTTTACTCATTTGTATTAAGACTGTAGTCCCATCATAGGAGTGAGCTTGGAGCGGTGGCTACTTTACAACAAACACAGGGACCATGGGGAACAAAAGTAGCCACCCTCCAGAAGGAAAGACAAGTGTCAGCATGATTTCATAGATTATTTGAGGCTCTACAGCCAAGTGATACACAAATTAGATACATTATTGTTAATAGTTAAGGTACCTGAATGTTTAAGATTTAACTCCTGTGTTTACGGTCACTTTAAATCAAAAGTTTGCAGAGGAAACCAGAGGAGAGGTCTAAGGAGGAGGCGCACACAGGGAAAGCTTACACCCTGAGACCAGATAATAGGCTTCTTGGGTTTGTACTCAGGACTCAAGTTAAGAAATATAGGATTGCTAACCATTGTGCCATGAAAATGCTCATATTGCCTTATCTTTCCTGATAATGAGAAATATCAACTTTTCTAAATCCTATTACATTTCTTTTTTTATAGAGCTAACATTAATTCTTTTAAGGGGTGATACAGGAGTAAAATGTGAAACATACGATCAAAGGAATGGCTAAAACACGGTATATTGTCAATATTTTATGCATTACACCAGTACTGTTAGATTTTATATTACGTTAACATGCTTTTTGTTGTAGTTCTGTGAAGGCTCTGTGAATGGTAAAGCAACCAATTAACATAAATACATTTGAAATTGTTCTAAAAGTGTCAAGTAAAACAATCTCCATCTACAATGATACAGTTTTGTGACAACTTATCGGCAACACTGTAATCAAAATTTCTGAAAATGACTGAAAATTCTGGTAAGGAGATAAAACACTGAGCACATACATACATACATACATAGTCAATTGGCAGGAAATGGTTTATCATTTAAAAGAAACAAAATGAGATAATAGATCAGTACAAATGTAAGATCTCCAGGAAAATTTTTATGAACCTTTGCAGTGGGGCTACCCCCGCACTACAAGGATTAAGTGCTTGTTTGTGTCTAGGGATAAAAAAAATAACAGATATATTCACCCGAAGCTCTGAGCTGTCACAGAGCTCCAGTCTCCCTGTCTGCAGCAGTATTGGAATCTTCCTCAGTGTCCTCACGTCTACAGACTGTGTCTAGATGTGATGATTCACTGGACCTTAGACCGATGCAGTGGAGGGGGAGAAACACTGGAAGGAGCAGTCCAAGAACAAGCCAGCTCAGAGCTTCCAGTATAACTTTTTTTTTTTTAACCTAAACACAAACGAACAGTTAACCCTTGCAGTGGGGGACTAGCCCCACTGCAAGGGTTCATAAAAAACATTTTTTTTTTCCTGGAGTTCTTCTTTAAAGCAAAAAACAGCTTGAGAAGGTTATCTAATGTTAGTAAAGACACAAACTATGAATAGTGAAAGGCTGCACTACCTTTAAACATCAGAAAGCAAACATCTATTCTTCATACATGCAGCATATCCAAACTACATTGACAGACTGCTAATCCTACCAGCAATCCATGTCATATGGTACAATTCCTGCATTTAGAAAATGGCAGAATGCCCGAAATAATTTTATACTATGAAAGAGGAGCGAGTATATTGGTATATCCCAATGTTTTACCTATTCACATTAGTAATCTGTTTCTTATTATTAGGGATGCACCGATACCAAGCATTTGGGCAAGTACTCATACTCGCCCAAATGCTTCCGATGCCGATCCCGATACTGGAACCTCCGGTATCAGGAATCCAGACGGCAAGTCATTACATGCCACCCGGCTTCCTGATTGGCGGGGAAGCCGGCTCCATGCTCCCTCGTCACCAGAGAGCATGGAGCTGGCTTCCCGGCCAATCAGGAGGCCAAGGGGGCGCGGGTAATGACCCGCCCGCCGGCTTCTTGAGTGGTCGGTAAGCTGGCCAATCAGAAAGCCAGGCGGCAAGTCATTACCCGCCCCCTGGCTTCATCACCTGGTAAAGAGGGAGCATGGAGACGGCATCCCAGCTAATCAGGAAGCTAGGCGGCGAGTCATTACATGCCGCCTGGCTTCCTGGCTAATCAAGAAACCAGGTGGCAAGTCATTACATGCCGCTGGGCTTCCTGGCTAATCGGGGAACCAGGTGGCAAGTCATTACATGCCGCTGGGCTTTCTTAATGGGACTTCCGGTATCAGCGAGTGCCGAAAGAAATTACAGTACTCGTACTCAATACCGGAAAACCGGTAGTGGTGCATCACTAATTATTATTTTTTATTAATTTGTTTAATATTTTATTCTTTTGAACTGCCACATATAATAAATACTGTAATAATAATAAAAACAGTATTTAATTTTTTTTTCTGGGCTGATTACAACACAAGATTAGGTGAGATACAAAAGGGCACAGCACAAAATGTGAAAAAGGGGAAGGGGGTGTGTTGTCTATAGCAGCCAATCAAGTGTTTGCTTTTATTATCCAAGCTACGGTAGAAATGGATGTAACTATGCTCAAAGACGATAGTAAAATGCTTACCAGATAGCACAACATTAGGAACAGCTTAATGCTCTGGGACAGAAGCACAATGAGCTGTGCAGCATACTGTTAGCCTTTCTGCTATTGAAAGATTAGTGCAGAAGTAGCAGGGAAGCTGAGAAGTGATGTCACAGTCATACGCACTTGTAAACTGGGAGGGATGGCATGCAGGACATGGAGATGATGTGGATGACAACACAGTTACATCATCAGAGGCCTCTGGGTTTATCCAATACGCTCTCCTTCTTGGATTACCTTTCTTGCTAGAGCAGCTAATCTCACACTGGAAAACATCATCACAGCTGTCACTTTGTAGACGCTCCTTCTGCAAAAGCTTGTCAACCCGTTGAATGATGCACTCAAGGCTTTTCTCTACATTGGACCAGACTTTATCCTGAAACAAGCAATCACAGTAATCATAACTAAACTTTTCAGGAATGACAATGTTTAATGAGTGCCCACTTTAGGCTGGCAAGAGTTATACCCTTGGGGGGAAATACTGAAACATATACTCAATTCAAATTGTCCTAGAGACAAATGAACATAACTGAACATTAAACGAGCAGTGCTTGCAAGTTGCGGTCACGTGCACTGTTCTTGGCACACTACATATTTCATGGCACCTTCCTATCTTAGAGTGCAGGCGCAGGAATAAGAGTCACTAACACTGTTTCCTCCTACTCCACTCATCCACTGAGGACTGAGGTGGGAAGTTTGTTCATTTCAGGAGCAAGCAAGAAAAGGGGACTACATTTCTGCATAGAGTGGAACCAGGGGAAAAAAAATATATAGCCACCCTCAAACAGAAAGACAGATCACTGCAGCAAGTGAAAATACATTTGGATATTTGGAAAAAGCCGAGAGCCATTGAAAGTACATTTTTAAATAACAATAAATATTTGAATAGGTATTTTTCTTGAGTTTAGTGTGTCACTGTGTTTTGTGAATCACCAGCACCTTTTAGGGTGGAAAGAAGTCTATCACGTTGCCCATTTCATTTTGGGTAGAGTAGGGAAGGGATAAAGCCATTACACTTTTTTTTTTTGCTGTCTTGACACATTTAAGAAACTTTTCCTTTAGTTGCGGTTCTAGAGACACAACGGGAATTAAGATAAAATCTCTCCAAAGCGAAGGGGAATTTCCTTTAGACAACTGTCGTATGAACAGGTTACCCATTAGGAAAATGTCCTTATCTCCTGTTTGGGTGACAACTGAAATGGATTTGCATGTACCGTATATTATGGTTTGTTCTGCTTTTCTTTATTGTCCTACAACAATTTCCTGTAAAATGCTTTGCCTATCACTGTTTCCTTATCTTAATCTTGTAACAAAATGCGATGATTATTAGTGTTTTCTTTAAAATTATTTTTTATAGCAACCAATATTAAATATAAAGAGAGGTGCATGCATACCCATTCTTCCTCATGCCAGTCCACCTGGAGTGATGACCTGCTGTTTCGGCCAGTCCATCGTGCCACTAGAGTATCCTGGTCATTCCTTAGCATAACCTGATCTGCCTCACCTGATGTAGGAGAAGCTTTGGAAGCGATGTAGTCAGGCCTAGCAGCATTGAGTCCTTGTATTGCACTGGCTAATAGTTTGCAATCACACACTGTGACAAGCTGCCTTGTCTGAAAAGAAAAGATAGATCCATATAAAAGACAAAAAAACTTGACAGGGTATATCCATTACTATACTGATAAAAAGAAACATGGAAACATTCTGATTAAAGCCCAACTCCAGACAAAACATTTTTTTTTTTAATTTTTGGGAAAGCATTAGAACACCAGACACGTTTTATTGCTGGATGTGACTCCAATTGTGAGGTTTTACTCAATTATAAAAAAAAACAAGACTAATGAATGGGTGAGAGGGTGTAGGTAGGAAGTGAGGGTTTGCCTGGCAATGGGCTTTAACCCTTCGTCTGAGTTGTAATTTAAAACAATTTTAATAATGCAGAATTCTGTTAAGATGACAGTCAGAAACAGAAAAACAGAGTGGCTGGATAATTTGATTAGATAAACAGAAAAATAAAAAAAAACCAGAAAAGCAAACAGTTAAAACAGTAGGTAAACATAAAGGCAACTCAGCTAGAAAAAGCCTTGTAAAAGCTTACTACAATTTCCAATCTAGTTAACTATTAAAAGGTGAGACGCTTCATTATTATTTTTTGTATTATTACGTTTCATAGATCACCCAGTTAAATCTATAAAAAGAACCTTTATAGCACAACTTCAGACAGTTAAAAAAACCTTAAGATGTTACCCCCACCCCGATGAAGAATATATTGCTCTTTTTGCAAAGTGGACGATTTAAAAGTAACCTTTTTTTCATGGTCCTGCACACCATTTATGTTTGTGTTGACAAAGCTTTTTACCAGTCTCTGACTGCTTGCGTCTCCATCCCTCTCACTTACAATATGATTATGTTTAGGTTAGATATTTATGAAAATTTGCACAAACAGAATACATGCAAAACCTGGTTTTCAATCTATAGCAGATACAGTGTGTGGATCCTCAATCTAAGTTTAAGGATGACCTTACTTTTTCAGCTTCTGTGTTATAAACATAACTACATTTATGAGGGGGGACCCACCTTATCTGCCAAAATAGTCAGTGTCCGCTCAATGCCGTTGGCTGATCTGTCTTTAGCTGCCCTGGAAAGCCTCTCTGCATAATAACTGACTTGTGTCTTCAGAGTATTGATGTGAGCAATGATCTCTTTGGCTCGAATTATGTCCTGCGGTATGTAAACAATAGACTGGGGGCACGCTGATGTACTGCAGGAGAAAATATAGGTCAATGTAATAAAATGGATTCCTTCATCAACCATGGAACAGGTAACTCTTGTATTCACACATGTGAAACACTCATGGATGACAAAAGAGAATGCATCATGGCAGGCTAGTAGTACACAGGTCACACTGAGTGGATGAATCTCATGCTCTACTTAGGTGGACTTCACATAGCACAGATGTCCCTGTTTTAATTCCCAGTGAGAAGACGTGATCATGAAAACACCTGTAAAATAATACTAAGGCTTTATTCATGAGGTGTGCACTCAGCCATAGAAAAACATTACATAGTTACAGATTAGTTAAGGTTGGATAAGGACACCGGTCCATCCAGTCGAACCAATGTGTGCGGGGTTGAATGCAATTTTGTATTTTAAGATTATACATATCCTTCTTTATCATGCTCAGTGAGGAAGATATTGTCGTCCTCGTCAAGGACCTAATATTAACCAAGTTACAGGCTTTGCAGTCATCATTGATTAATTTGTACATGGCGATCATGTCTCCTTTTAAGTGGCTCCTCTGAAAGGTTAATAAGTGTAATTTACTTTATTTCTCATAGCGGATGTCAAGTAATTCTGTTGCCCTTTGCTGGACTCTTTCCAGTTCTAGGACATCGCTTCTGTTGATGGGGGACCTAAGCTGAACTACAGGGGTAGGTAAAGGGGTAAGCGTACCGATCTATCCCTCAAATAAATACCCTTTTTAATGCAGAATAATATTCCGCTTGCTATTACATGCACTTAGAATTTCGCTTTCAATGAGTCTGGACACATGTATTTTGACATCTGTGCACATGAGGCCTAAAAAAGTCAAACTTACCTGGATTAAAATGCTGCTAAGGCAGCAACAGTGCTGATGAGCAGGCACCTTGAAGTTCCTACAGGTATTTGCGTTCCACCCATTCCTGGCTCTGAACCTCGCCCATGTCATTTAACTGTTTAATGCCAGAACCTCTATTGCCCACTGACGTTCTTGCATCCGACAAGGTGGGGTTTAGCAGTAGAAGGGACAGAATTAAGCTACACGTGTATAAAAGAGACCCTAAATGCACTGACGTTCTTGCATCCGACAAGGTGGGGTTTAGCGGTAGAAGAGACAGAATTAAGCTACACGTGTATAAAAGAGACCCTAAATGCAGCTTGGGCCTAGGATTCACTTTAAGTAAAATATTGTGAATTTCTAGTGAAGTGCATTTGTTTTATATGCTAAACCTGTGTCTTAATTTTTTGCAGGAATAATAACTATTTTTTTGTATTCAACCTCTTAAACTGGGCCTATGATGCAAAATGCATAGGTAGAGGTCACTAACTAAAATGAAAAATCGATCCATAAATACAGGCAGTTGAAGCTTTAAGAAAAACCCAGCTTTTCCTTCTGAACTAATGGCTAGTAAGCCCTTCCCCACATTACATGACTAAACTTAGATCTATTGACAATTTTAACATGCAGTAGTCTCTTATACATCTTTTCATTATAGGTTCAGGCTTATAACAGGTTATCTTTAAGTGACATTTCCTTCTCCAATTCACAGGCAGGTTCTTTTAATAGGCTCCAATCCGACCCACCTTCCCTGCACTCCACAGCTATTTGAACATTAGAGCAATGCACTTCTCCCATTCTACCGCCACTGACAGTTGCAACATGCTGAGGATGTAAAAGGACTCCTGCCTGAGATCTTCTGTATATGTGTATAACTGCTAGAAACATGAAGACCCAAATAGCTATTACTGTGTTTTCACAGAATTATTTGCTTTCTGAAATACCACTAGAGCTTTGATGTGACCAGTTTAGCTATAGTAGTGCCTAACAGTGTAATTATACACGAATACTATAAGGCAATAGGGGAGACGGAGCAACGATAGGATTATCTGTAAAAATAGTATGGATGGATCAAAGCCATCTCACCAGTCCTTAGGCAGAAAATACTTTTTATCCATTCTTTATTTCAAACATTAAATACTTGCATGACAGAAACATGCTTTAAAGTAAAATGGGCCTCCTACACAAACACAATAAAAGCATACACAATTATGCGCCTACATATGGCTGTAGAGTGAAGCGGTGGCTAAATTCTAAACTCCATCCATGCTTAAATAGGCAACAGACCTACAAAATGGTGTCCAAATGAAAGGTGCAAAAAAGCGGTAATGACATTCCATATTCCATCAAATCAAATCACAAGAAAATAGTATTACAAAAAAGCACGAACACATTGTATGATTTAATGGATGCTGCAAAACCAACTCACCAACTTTCCTCAAAACTGCTATAAGGAACCAAGAAACAAAATGCAAAATTAGATTACAACTAGTTTAAAAATAGAAGTTAGCAAAATATTGTCACCACGATCTTGCTTTTATTTCAAAGCATGTAAAAAGGTATGCATTATTTATAGGCAAAGCAAATAATGTGTATATTAAATCTCTTTAAAAGGTGATTTAGAAGAAAAATGTAGTTAGTGTAACACTGAGGTGTTCCCATCTCCCGGTGCCTATTTAAAAAGTTGCAGGGCCTCTGCACCAGAGTTACTTACACTGCCAGACAAATTGTAGTGAATACAATACACCGGCCTTTTGGAAAAAATACCAGATTTCACTACTGGCAAGAAAAGTCTGAGTTCACTAGGGATGAGCCCAGATTTGGCCATGGGCACTTCCTTCCAACAAGCTGTGGGTTGGGCATTACCCACTTTGCACCTATACGTAAACAAAGGGGCAGGATGCAGTGACATAATTTACTTTATATGACCATATAAGGTAAATGTAATTTACCAAATATAGTCATGTAGCCATATAAGGTCAATGACGTCACTGCATTCTGCCCCTTGGATGCTGATTGGGCGGCATAGAAAAAGTTTCCTTCCGGGTTTGAGGGGGAGCTCCTTCCAGGTTTGGAGGAAATCAGGGTTGGACTGTGTTCAGTCCAAACCTAAAACACATCCCTAGTATTAACTTCTTTTCAAGGAAACCCAGAAATCGTAGGAGGTGGTAACCCCTTCTTCATGTTACTATATTTGGACGTCCTGAACACATTTTCAAATTTCCAGAAAATCCCCTTAAAGTGTTCCAAAGTCAAGCACAGGCAGCAACTGAGAGGGTTAGTAAAAGGGCAAAAATGTATTCTCAGGCAATAGTTAACTGCATGTAATGTAAAATAAGCTGTAGTCCACAGTATACTGATTCAGGCATGCTTCTCGCCTTAGTAATGTGATTATAGGAAGCAGAACAATATGTATTCTAACTTTGTGGTTGTATAGGAGATCGTAACGGAGTTGTTAGCCTTCTGGGTTCAGAAGGCTAACAAAGGCTAACATTTGTTAGCCTTCTGAACCCATAACTGGTTCTTAGAAAAGTTATTCTAATCTGCATATTTGCTAAAAGCAGTATGGGTGTCAGTGCCTAGTTTTTATGTCTTGTGTACTGGGTCTTACATACAGATTACACAAATGTTTTTGCTTTGTGAACCATCTTTAATCTGCACATTTGCTAGGAGCAATGTAGTCTCCACCGAGTGCCTAGTTTGAATTGAAAAGGGTCCTAAATATTGCCCCGTGCTGTCTAAACTATTGCATACTGAAATCGTGATTTTGAAATCTACTGTGTATTATATATTGATAAAACAGAGAGAGAACTACAGTTACATCTCACAGGTGACTATAGCTGGCCATTACATTCCCTTTAAAGTGTACATTAACCCCCAAGGGTGTTCGTTCAAGACAAAAGGTGCATAAAGTAAAAAGAAACACAACCTGCAAGAAATTCCATTGGTTTTAGTCTGTGCTGCACCGATCCATTGATACTGACTGTACCGTAATCAGTTATCATTGCTCCCAGCTCCCTCTACTATAGAACACCTCCTCCTGGTATGGATATGAGAGGGGGGAAGTGTTCTGAAGTCCTATCACCCTTCCTGCCCTAGGGTGACAACACTGCTCCCTCATAGATACAGTACAGTGAGTGGGTGGGTGTTGTCAACCTAAGACAGGAAGTGGGTTGCTGGCAGGATCATCAGGTGCAAGTAAAAGGGAAAAAAATTTCTGCAAAAAGAAAACTAATGCAGCCACCACGTCTAAGGACTGATAAGCTTGGATTCATTTACACGTTAAGCAATTTCTAAACCTAAAATTCTTTATATTCAAGCTTTAGTTCAAGTATACAAAAATGAATATAATATGTATAATTTTCAAAGCAAACAATGAGCAGCAAAAAAATAGTCAGAGATTCAACTTACTTTTTTTTTGCTTCTTCAAACTTGTGCAAAATCTTCCGTAACCCCCCAGATTTGAATCCTTGACAATGGGCGGCTGGTGCCCCTATTGTCACTATATCATAGTTTTGATCTGCAGATTAGAATGATGAAAAGGACCTTTCTTATTAAATACATTTACTGTATTTATGAAGACACAGAAGGAAGCAAAAGAGGACGCTGAAATTCCTTAATCTGGTTTTCCTGGCCAGTGTAAATATTATATACCTATCTAATATAGATGCCTTTTCCCATTACTTGATATAGAGTTAACAAGAAGAGTCAGCATTTTGGTAGCAAAATGATACATCACTTGAGCTGATCTGTTTTCCTGCACTAACATTTACTTTTCAATTCATCACAATCCAAAAAACAAGTTTATTACACATTTTGGCATGGAGGGCAGATCCATGCAACTCTTTCCTTTATGCTCCAAAGCCAACTTTGCATCTAGAGCTGCTGGTGTACAGCACAAACACAGCCTATTATTAAATCGTAGAACCTTTTCCAAACAGCTGTTTCAGGCGAGTTGGCCATCACCAGTGCAGTGGAAGGAAACCACGGCTTCCATAGAGGGCTTGAGAGCCAACATGAACGTACAACCACTCAGACTACGGAAAAGTGAGCTTAAAGTGTATGCAAACTTATTTTTCAGTATGTTTGGCATCATGCTTCACTGTATACAGTTTTCATAAGCAAATCATATTTTGTGAGTCTGTTGCAAAGTTTCCAACATGGAGATTCTGCTAGTAGAGGCGCTTGCTGCTGCAGACTGACAACACATAGCAGCAGCACTGTCACTCCTTCATTCGGCACTGGGCAGCCTATCAGGTCTACCAGAGGCATGAGAACTCCTGATGGGTGTACCAACTGCCAAATGAAAGAGCAGGATGGCAGACTGATAACAATGCTGCAAATTAAAAGACTGTGGCCTAGTGTTGTCATCCTGCAATAGAAACCATAATTTAATGTTCAATGAAACCATATACAGTGAAACAGAATGACAAACATACTAAAAAAAAGGGTTAACATACACTTTAAAAACAACTAAAAAAGTCCTATAGTATTTGATTACATCTGTGCTGTAAACAAGGAGCTCTGCATGCACAGCTGGCCCATGGGCATACAGGAATATTTCATGACTGTTGGTTTTTTGGACTGTGTTGGCAGTCATGACTGGTGTCTTTTGTACCTTGTAATAAATATTTTAGTGTCTACACTAAATAGATCACATTCCACAATTTTGATTGACACTTATTTAAAAAAAAATCAGAGCACTTGCACCATCTTGGCTTGTTAAAAACTCTTTAAACTAATCTCACAGGGCAATAACAGGTACAAGTGCAAGCATATTCCAATGGGGCTCCAGAGCAATCCAGGACACTCAAGCCTGTATGCAAATTTTTACTCCTTTAAATAAATTTTAAAAAACACCATCCCCAAGGACATCCTGCAGTACCCCCCAAATTTGCTGCAGAAGAGGCCTCCAAGTACTGGGTTTGTGCTTAAAACATTCAAGTTGTACACAAAGATGGCTCGAGCGCCACTGAAGTTTGCTGACAGTTCATAGTGTTATTACCAGGGCTTGAAAAATTTGGCGGTGTCTCACCAGTCAGTCAAAAAAACTGTAAAGCTGCTTGTCGGGCTCCACTGTCTGCTCGTCACAGACGAGCAGACGAGCGGATTTTCGAGCCCTGGTTATTACCCTATAAGATTAAATTTAGAAGTTGTAACTCGTAACAAGTTATCTCAGTGATAACTTTACTTTCAATATGCAATAGGCCTCCAAGTACTGGGTTTGTGCTGAAAACATGCAAGCTGTACACAAAGATTTAAAAGGGTTCTAAAGGTCATTCTCAAACACCACTGAAGCTTGCTGACAGTTCACAGTATTATTACCCTATAAGAATTACATTTAGAAGTTGTAACTTGTGACACGTTATGTCTGTGATAACTTTACTTTCAGTATGCATCAGAAATGAAATACATTAAATGACAAGGCATGAATAAGAGAAACAAATAAAAATGATGCAGTCATTTATAAATAATTAACTACGTGTAACAAGGCATAATTCAAACAACACTCTATACCGCGCTTTTACAGTCATTAAAGTTAGAAAAACTTGCCAAAGTGATTTTTTTCTTTAATTCGAATTCATTTAGTAAATTAAAGTACACACTTACAGGTTATTCATAATCGACACATGGGTACATAGTGATACATAGTGACTATGTCGCCCTAAAGAAGGGACCCTGCATGGCCCCAAAACGTTAGCTAAATGACGCTTGTCACATGTTTCTTCAATAAATAAGCAAACAAATTCAATGCTTTTGACTGAGTGCTGGTGATCTCTGTCTTCTAATATTCTGGAAAACACTGCTCCATCCATGCAATCACTTTGAGTCCCGCGACCATTAATCAAGGTCCAATCTCTGTAAGGAGTGCAGGTGACACATCACAATACTACAGAATCCTATATCAAGAAAGAATGGGCCATTTCTCTAAGGAGGGACCCGGAGACAGGCTTGGGCTATCTTGTCTTCCCCTGTCTTTCTTCATGTTTGTGCTCTCTGTCCTCTTCTCTGGTGTGTTTTCCTCTGGCTTTTTGGACCACAGAGCTCTTTTCCAACTGTCCTCTCGGTGCTTGTCGGGTCTGTCTTACTCAGGTACTCCGGTACGGCACATGGCGGATGGACACTAGGGTGCCCATGTTGTACTATGAGTGAGCCACAGATTAGTCATGACTCAACTATGGTAGGGGAATCAGTGAATAGGTATATTATTGGTTTCGCTCTGGTATACTTTTGCTGTTTATTTTCCCAGCCCGCTTATTTTAGGGGATGTGCTCCGGGTTGTACTGGGGATAATTTCTATAGTGGTTGTTTCCTTGCTGTACTTATGTTTTTCTCTGTTTTCGGATTGTAACTTGAAGATCCCTTAACCCCTTCGTGACTGACGACGTACAGTGTACGTCGCCAGCATCGGGGAGAATGCAAAAAAAGAACGGGACAACATTCCACTTTAAAAACTCTAGAAACTGGTCTCCTCAGTTCCCAGATGTTTACAGAGTGTTGTTAAAAGAGGAAGGGATGCTACACCGTGGTAAACATGGCCCTGTCCCAACTTTTTTGAGACATATTGCTGCTATTATTTTTTTCTTTAAAATTGTACATTTTCTCAGTTTCAACATTTGATATGTTTTCTATTTTGTATTGTGAATAAAATATGGCTTTATGAGATTTGCAGATCATTGTATTCTGTTTTTTTAAAATTTTATTTAACACAGTGTCACAACGTTTTGGGAATTGGGGTTGTAGATCTGGGAGTGCCAATTCACTTATTGGGTAAAGTATGTGGGAGTTTAGACCAATTAAGAGAAAAGAGAGAGTTTAGACCAATAGTGCCAAAGTCCTGGACAAAGTACATGATTTTTTCCTACTGACTGCTGCAGATCTGAATGATAAAATCAGCAGATCAGCTGCATATAAAGAGACTCTTTCCTTCAAAGTGCCCACCTGGACACCTCTGATTATTGAGATTTGCCTTTCTGTGATTCGGTTTCTGTAAGTAGCTCAATGGCCATCAAACTGCTTTTAGTGATTAAAATAAGTAACATTACAATTATTTTAACAAAAGACATCATACCTGATGTAGATTCATCTTGAACCCTCATCCTTTGAATGTGTAAATTGGTAGGAACAAATTCTAATTTTTTATCTGACTTCAAACTGCTTGCTTTAAAAGAAACACCTAGAAAAAAAAAACAACATTACACAACAACGTTTAAATCCCATATACCGAAACCCATATTACTCATCTACAAACAGGTTATGAAAAGCTTCCAGATATTTAATTCCTATTTCTGTAACTTCATAGAATCCTAGGTCTGTTCCTTTTGTGGGCAATGGCATGCATACACCGTATTCATGATGTTTCACTAGTGAAACAGTAGTTCATACGTTGTTTAAGTAGGCATGTATGCAAGATAGGTTTGTCAGAGTACTTGTTTCTGACCTTATCACATGGTCTTCAACCCATGTTGTACAGAAGTTAAACCTCGTCAATTAAAAAAGGCAAGGCATACATTCAGCCTATGTTCACAATCATAGGTGTACATCTGATCATTTACATTTTTGGATGCCTTCACTAGCCTTGCACTACCAATAACCTCCCCCTCCATCATCAAGCCAACCTTATAATAAGGTTTACAATGAATAGAAAGAAGGGTAAGCACTGTTAAAAAGTGTATCTACCTCAACTAACTTATAAAATTGGCTGTGCTTTAGGCCACCATAATTTTTCTGGCTTTTCTGCTATTAATCAATGCTGCTATATCCCCCACTATTCCCACAGCATTAGGCAAACATTCCTCTATAATATCCTGCAAGTAAAAAAGCAGAGGGACTCCATATGGGAGAAGCTTCACCAAAATGTTGAGCACAATCAGTGTGATGAGAGTCTGAATGTACTTGCAAGATGCTCCTTTCACTCTTTTTTTTAAATATATTTTTAGGAACTATGAGACAGCAATGAGTATATAATCAAGCATCCCATTTTTACATAGCTCTTCCAGATGACAAAAGTAGTCAGGTTGGTTTAAAGAAATATTCACAGAGGCCAGAAATCTTTGGAGCACCAAGTAAGCATGATTACTGTATATCATCCTTAACTAGACACTTGTTTAGTTAAAACTGGTCAACACAAGCACATATAATGACAACACTACAAGCATGACAGCATACTACTTCTGACAGTATGAACAATCAAGGTAAACAAAACTAAAAAGGTGTCTGTTTGAAAAGTCGTCTCAAGACAGTTTTGTCTCGGCGAATAAATTTGATTAAAAAAAAAAGAAAAGAAGAATACATTTCATGTGATGTAAATTGATGACCAAACCTACTAAATCCAGAAAAATATCACCCAGTATTCTGTGTAGAAAACATAAACCCATTGTTAATACATGCAAAAGGGATGCTGAGTCAGGCCCCTTTCCGACTCCCCATAGACCCAATATGGGTCTGGTAAGTTAAGTTTTTAAGATGGAAGAACAACAGGACAGACACAGTTGTCTAAATCGTGACAACCATTCAGTACTACTCCGAACAGCAGGGGATCCACACATGGATCCCCTGCTGATCGGAACTGACAGTGCCCATGTGAAAGGGGCCTTAGTTTCTCAATGTTACAATAATGTTTCATTTTAGCACTGATCTTTCAGTGCAAAGTTACAAATCTCTAAAGTATGTCTGTCTAATAAAATAAAAGAGGTGAAAGTTAAGCCAACTGACCTTTGTACTGATGGAGATTAGTCAGGTTCTCCTGGTATATCAATATGATGGTCTGATATTGAGTTACAATTTGTCTGCGAAGATTCTCCCAACATGGAGACAACTCCCCCAGCTCTTCAAGCTCACAAACTCTGTACAAGACAAGGCACAATCTCATGAGTTGATGCAGCACATGATGACATGGCAGAAAATAAACAATTGTTCCCAAACACATATTTGGATTGTTTTTATGTGAAGGATTCAAACACATTACCTTTATTATTTATGCTGGACTTGAGGCTACCCACATTGCAAAAGTCTATGAATGCTGGTTAGTCAATCACCCTAAAATACCAGCTTCTAATCTGTCATTGTATAGACCAATGAGCCTCAAAAACACTCATCTTTGCTTATTTGAAGAAACTATGCCCATCCATGAACCACCCCATTCCCACTATCCATGCCCCTGGACCATTAACCCCTTCGTGACGGGAGACGTACACTGTACGTCCAGCCACAAAGGGACCAAATGACTTGTCACGTACACTGTACGTGACAAGTTATTTGCTGCTTTAGAGGGCTGTTAATCGCTGAGAATCAGCTTTTAACATTCATTAATGGATGCCCTTACTACAGAGGCATTCATTAATGAAAGGGTTAACCTTTTTCAGACACCCGATACCTTAATATCGGGTGTCTGAGAGTCAAAGCAAAGCGGACACAGATGCCGGCTTTTGCCGGCATTCTGACAGCTCGTATAGATCGAGAGATATCTCTCTCAAGCTATACTGGCTTTTTTTTTTTTCTTTCATGAATAGATACAAAATGTGTCTATTCCTACAATGTATCTATTCCTGGAAGAAGAATGTTTGTTTGCTGATCGTTGTTGCAACAATCAGAAAACATTTAGTAACAGCTGAATCCTGAACTGCTGCAGGATCAGTGTCACTAACTTATTATCGGCTGTTCTGAAGTTTGAAGCAGCCTGATAATAACCAAAAATTTATTAATTTATCATGCAGTAACAGTGAGATTAATTCACAAAATCTGCTTGATATAATTAAATAAATAAAATAACATTTTTAAGTTAAAAAAAAAGTGAAAAGTGTAAAAAAAAAAAAAAATTGTGAAAAGTGTAAAAAAAATAAAAAAATGTGTAAAAAATAAAATAAAATAAGGGACAAATAAATGAATGTATTTATTGCATTTTTTTTAGCTGTGCTGGTTTTGTAAAAAAAATACTACAAATCAAAACTGGGAAAAAAGTGTTTTTTTTAAACGGTTTTTTCCTCTTTTTTTATATTTTATTTGTCCTAAGTGAGGCGTTAGACACACATATGTGATATAAATATGTAGCCCTATCTGTCCTCTAAAAAACAATATATAATATGTGGGGGTGCACTTTGTAAGAAAGTATATTACTGACGTCGAAGAATCACACAGCAAAAATGTCAAAAGTGTGTCAGTCATTTACGAACAGAAACTAAAAACAAGCTCAGTCATGAAGGGGTTAAAAAAAAGCATAGTGACTGGCAGGAAGCTGCAGTCCCACCAAGAGGTTCTATGAAAGCCATTTTTACACTAGCTACAGGAATAATATATACAAAATTAAAATCAAGGTGGGCTGAATGGACTCTCCAACAAAGTGGAACTTTCTACTGTAAACTATTAACCGACACTTTTATTTACCTAGAATTGCTAGTCAAAGAACTTGCGGAAATAATACAAAAGGTCAACCAACAGAAACCTTCTTTAACTACATTTAAATGTATGCAAGCAACAAAGTGTTCCCTAAACAAAGCAACAATTTAAAAGCAATTATTATTCTGCATGGAAAATATCTGACAGAAGAAAGTTGAAAGAGACGCAGCTTGAGGGAGGTTAGGGAATGTTCAGTGCTACTACAGTATCAGTAATCATTTAAAGTGGATTTCCACTTTTGCAGTCAAATTTGGGGGGAAAAACAAAGAAACAAAAAAACACTATGGGGAGAATTTATCAAAACGGGAGCAGACTGAATGTAGAGCAGTTGCCCATGGCAACCAATCAGCTTCCATCTTTCATTTTCAAAGCTTAATTTAACAAACTAAAGAGAGAAGCTGAATAGTTCCCTTGGACAACTGCTTTAGATTCTGACTGCTCCAGTTTGAATAAATTACCCCCCTATATATTTGTTGTGTTCCAATTTATTTTTTATAAATAAAAACATTTTATTTCAGAGTGGAGCAGGTAATATGTAAGCGGGAATGTTTGGGTGGTTTTTTTTGTTTTTTTTTTTATAATTATGCGAAGTGAATGAGAAACATGTAACAAATATAAAATAGGCCTTATCCCAATTTGGCTGCAAGAGTTGAAATAACCTTTAAGAGCGTCAGGTGCATGATCATTCAGTCTACCTCTTGGATAACTGCCAAAATACATCCAAAATGTATTACATAATTTATGTCAAATTTATGATTCATAGATGGAATAAAAGAAACTGCTTATAGATAGACTTTACATGATAAAACAGGATGTAACCAACCACAGTCAGTTTCTGAATATGTGGTAATCAAAAAAACTACAGTTTTCTCAATCCTCCCACTTGCGGCTTCACACACTTAATACTTTAAACTCAAAGCAGATGTAAAGCACACAAATTACCACAGCACTGTTTTCATTAATACAGTAAATCCCCCCTTATCCGGCATGTTCTCGATTGGTTTTTATGCTCAACATAACTCTCAAGCAACCAGAAACTGCTTTTGTTCCCCGTGGTCCCTGTGTGTGTTGTAAAGTAACCAATGCTCCAAGCTCGCTCCTGTGATGGACTACAATCTCAATACAAATTAGGAAACTACACTTAAGGTTGTAGTCCATCACAGGAGCGAGCTTGGAGCAGTGACTACTTTACAACACACACAGGGACCATAGGGAACAAAAGTAACCACCCTCCAGAGGGAAGGACAGTGCAAGCATGAATTCAGAGATGATTTGAGGATCTACAGCCGAGCGATACACAAATAAGATACATTTTTGTTAATAGTTGAGGTATTTCAATGCATTTTGCAGATTTAACTCCCGAGTTTAGTGTCACTTTAACTAATGAATATAAATTGATTTCATATCAGCATGCAAAGCTCCCTGTTGATGTGATTTTTAGTGAAAGGGAGTAAAGGTCCACTTTAACTAGCAAACAGTAAAGCAGTAGCTGCATATGTTGGTTAACAGGAAATTCAGTATACACTTTGTAGTTTTTTAAAACAACACGTGTTGCATTGTATATGTTATTACCCATCAAAGGTGTAAGGACAGATTTGATTTATAAACCAAAAAACAAATTTGTAATGGTTATCTGCCCATCAAATTCTGCCCTTACAGAAGCCTGTCTATGAAGGGAGTAGAAAATCTGCTTGGGGTGCCCACCTATTTACATGCAAGATTGTAAACATTACACTGGAGCTAGAATGAATTTAAAAAAAAGCTATAGAAAGCAGTATATTGCATTGTGTGTAAATGTTATCTTTAAATTACCAAACAATTTAACAGGAGATTGAATGCTAAATCTACAATGTTTATATCTTTCATTGCCAAGGTGAACAAAGCTGCTCCCAGTATGAAACAAAAGTACTGGCATTAAATATTTATATATGCATGAAGGTTATTATCTGAATGCCCAGGACTTAAGGCTTTTTTCCCCATCATTTAAAGAAGGATGACTACGTCTATCTTACCTTGCAGCATCTTCTTCAAGCAGGAGTTTCACAAACTGCCTGGGTATATGTAAAGAAAGGACACTCTCAGCCATTTGCTCCAGTATCCGCAGGTGGTTACCATCTGTTGTAGGAAAGCGGTACATGCGGCAGATTGCACCTCCAAACACTGCAAATGGACAAGATAAGAATAGGTTCAAAGCTCTATTACATACACCTATACAAATGTATTTTAGAATATATATCTATCTATCTATCTATATAGAGATATATATAGAGATATATATATAGATAGATAGATAGATAGATAGATAGATATATATATATAGATATAGATATAGAGAGAGAGAGAGAGAGAGAGAGAGAGAGAGAGAGATATAGATATATGGTTTGTACCTGTATCTTGAAGGGTATAACTATTCATATACAAAAGCCTTAGTCTAGATAGGCCTTTTCTCCACACCAGTGTGCCATGGGTACCTTCTGGCCTCTACAGGGGTGCCTCAAAATATTAGGATGATAGGACTCTGATAAGAAGGGTGGCTAAGGACTCATGTAAAAGGGGGCTTCTGATATTAAGGGGTGGGACTTCTGATGTAAAGGGGGGCTCTGATGTAAAAGGGGAGCTCTTATGTGAAAAGGGGGACTTTGATGTGAAGGGGGATCCCCACTTTTTTGTGTTTTTAAAATCCATTACATTTTAGACTGTGGTCCCCTGAAATTTTTCATATTCTGAAAGGGTGCCCCGATTGAATAAAAATAGAGAAATGCTGGTCTAAACTACTAATGGATAACTGTGATTAGAAGCAATGAACTTGCTAAATGAATTACAACGGATCAGCTTACCTGATTTCAGAAGTGTATCTTTTCGTAAAGATGCATATTTTGAACGTAATCCTAAAGATTCCGTTAAACTTTCATCAACGGGAATTAAAGTCTAAAAACAAAACCATATGTGTTCACAGATAACATATATCACAAAGAGATCACAAACTGCACGCTTACAGGCAATCACTGTGAAAGAAACAACCATCCATGTTTTATTGTGTATGGATAAACCAATAGTTTATTATATATTATAAGTAGGGATGCACCAATACCGATACTAGTAACGGTGCCGATACCTAGAAATTTGGGCTAGTACCGATACTCACCCACATGCTCCGATACCGGAACTCCCGATCAGAGGGAGATCTACCTCTGACCGGCAGTGCTGCAAGGGAGCATGGAGCTGGCTTCCTGGCCAATCAGGAAGCTGGGCGTTGGGTTATTACCCGCCTCCCGGCTTCCCGATTGCCTAAGAAGCAAGCTTCATGGTACGAGGCAGCCGGGCTTCCTGAAAAATCAGGAAGCCGGGCTGTGAGTCATGATGTGCCGCACGGCTTCCTGATTGGCTAGGAAGTCTGCTTCACTTGTTGCTAGGCTGCTTGTATGTAATGTAATACATATACACATCAGTTTTTGTGTGATCTTTCAAGAGTACCTATAAAACGATGTTGTGAATGTCTCCATACTGTCTGACTGTCACAATGGCAATGTAGCAAGGTTTGAAGTTAATGAAAATGCTAGCTGTGACAGGCTTAACTGTCATTCATCACTTACATATCACTTGGCATTACAAATGTAACAATCAAATGTCTTGACAAATGCAAAAATGACTGGAGCTTGCTAACACTATGGCAGGGTTAGCATGGGTGGGTAATGTTTGAATAGTATAGGATACAGACCTTAAAGTATATTTCCACTTTTGCAGCCAAATTGGGATAACATCTACTCCATATTTGTCACATGTTCATGCAAAAATTTCTGAATACATTTGTAACTTTTTTTTTACCAGCTTAAAAATCCTACCTAGCCCCCCCCCCTATGTAATGTTAAGGAGGGGCTGAGGGAAGTTATGCTTACTCTAATTAGCCCTGTCTGTACTCTACTGGCAGATTTTATGATCAGTTGTAAAGGAGATGTACACATTGGCTGTCCTAACAAAGGGTTAAAGACTTGTATGCTAATGAGAAGAAGCTAAGTCCGTTTCTCAGTTTGCCCTTCTACTTTCAAACTCCTCAGAGTAGCCTGGAATCTGCACAAAGGCCCTCACCAAGGAAACATCTGAAAGGGGAAGAAATATATTTAGTTGTAATTATTTTTCGTTATGCTGTATGAATGTGAACACATAAACATATAAAGGGGTTTTCTCAAATTTGACTGCAGAAGTGTAAATACACTTTAATACCAACCCTCCCAAACTACAACAAAACTTTCATAACTGAGAAAGAGCAATAGCTACTTTTTCCAACTTGAACATTTACATAGTATTATGTAATACTTCACATTACAGTATCTCCCTCAAAATACCTGATCCGTGCCCGCATCCGATTGGATGCAAAAAACTGTTGAGTGACAATTTTCTGCCGGGCTTTTTCTTATTTTTTCAGTCGAATGATGGTGGATGGGAGGCAGTAGACAAGGCTATCCACTGAGTGACTATTGGCGCATTCATCAAGAACCGGAATTTGCTCAGTGCATGGCCAGCTTTAGTTTGTGTCAGAACATTAACATTTGCAATAACAGAAGATTATTTACAAACACTTTTTATTTTTAATTATTCATGTAATGGGAGTCTGAAATTGGGATGACAAATATGAACTGTCTTGTTGTGACCAGATTATACTTACTCTTCCGTTAACAGTATCCAGTGATCTATTAACAGGGGGGCGCTGATCAACCTTCTCTTCCATTTGCCAACCTATTATTGTTATGTTACCTACACGTTCTTGTTCAGCAGACCTGCAAAGTAAGAGGGTTAGATTTTACAGAACATCTATGAAACCCATACACAGAAGAATCTAGTAATTCTATAATGTTTCAACAAGCTTTTCTCCACCCAACATGCACTATTCAGTGCATACCAGGAAACATGCTTATTTTTCCTCTGAAGCAGTAGCTACCTCCATTCATTGTTCACCTGCACGCCATGAAAGTGATCATTTGCACTTTGCACTTTATACACAGGAAGACGTGCATAAAAGAGATTAAAATTGCTCAAACTGTGCAATAATGTTCACCCATGTTTGGCTTACATGTCAATTTTCTCTTGATTTGTACATTAGGCTATTCTTATTCTTTTCTGTATTCAATGCCTTTTAAAAGGGAATGTTGAGTGTTTTTTTTTTTTTTTTTTTTACACATGACATCATTATTGTCAGGAATAAAGAAATAAACATTTTTTAATATACAGTAATACCTTGGTTTACGAACATAATTCGTTCCGGAATCATGCTTGTAATCCAAAGCGCATGTATGTCAAAGCGAATTTCCCCATAGGAAATAATGGAAACTCAGATGATTCGTTCCAGAACCCAAAAATATTATAATAAAATTACTATACTGCAATATAATACTGTACAAAATATAAAGAAAAATAAGCCAATTACAGGTACCTTCGTGGCTGATGTGAGGGAGACAAGAGAGAGGAGGATTATTGTGTAGGACGACTTTCACTATCACTAACGGAATCACTGCCATCTCTTGGCTCAATGGAATCTTTTTCATTTTGGGAAACCTTAACAAGGAAACTATCCAATGACACTTGCTGTTGCCTTTTTTTGGAGATTTAGCGGAAATGTGACATTGCATTGTCATTTGCATTGCATTGTCACTCGCACTGCTACAGCCTTATTCTGGTGGTGCTTTTCTACAAAATGTTGGTCGTATTGCAAGACATCGCTCGTATATCAAGGCAACAGTGTTGTGGAACACTCGCAAACCAAGGTATTACTGTATCTAATGTATTTATTTTTACACCTATTCACATACATACAGTGTGTGTGTGTGTGTGTGTGTGTGTGTGTGTGTGTGTGTGTGTGTGTGTGTGTGTGTGTGTGTGTGTGTGAGTGTGTGTGTAATTACTAGGCCCCATGACCAAAATGGGCTCTGTCACAATTGCATCTTCTGTAGAGGTATGTTCCAGGTAACTAATATAATACTTCGCAGAACACATTTAAAAAACCAGAGCAAGCTACAAAGTAAAGTTTTTGCATTCACTATCATTTCAAGTGCATATTTACACACACATACTTGTGAAGTAAATAATCAGCAAAATTACATGTTTTTTTCCCAAAGAGTAGAAATTGCCTACTGCTGGTTATAATGCTTCATTAAACTCTTCAATTATCTAATCTAATCAGAAGCTTTTCTTGCTACAAATGTTTCTGTACAACATAGGTTTTTGGTGTCCGTTACCTCATATCTGCCGCCAGATCTATGTAAATTCATATATATATCCTATACACATAGATAATAAAGACAACGGATGCATCTGTCACCTTATATCTGCCTCCAGATCTATATACATACATATATACTGTACACATAGATAATAAAGACAACATATGCATCTGTCACCTTATATCTCCAGATATGTATACATCCATATATACTGTACACATAAATAAAAGACACCTAATGCTTCTGTCACTTCATATCCACCTCCAGATCTATATATCGATTTGCATCCATACATATATACTGTAAACATAGATAATAAAGACACCTAATGCTCCTACCACTTCATCTCTGCCTCTAGAGCTATGTACATTTCTATATATACTGAGCACGTACACAAGCAAGAACACAAATACTTCTGTCACTTCATAGCTGCCTCCAGATCTATATACACATACAAACACACTGTACACAAAGATAATAAAGTCACCCAATGCTTCTGTCACTTCATATCTACAGATCTATGTACATTCCAACATATATACTGCACACATGGACCATCAAGACACTATATTCTGCTGTTACTTCATATTCACCTCCAGATCCGTGCACATATATAATGGAAACATAGACAAGCAAAACACTTAATGCTTCTGTCAATTCACACCCATTCTAATATGTATAAACATTCACATATATACATATAGACAAACAAGACACCTTATGCTTACCATAGTGGCAGATGCAATCTGTGACTCTTCTCGTGTAATAAATCCTTCACTATAAACTTTCCAGAGCCCAGCAAATACATCTATGCAGAAAATAATAAGGAAAGAAGAAAGTACAAAGTTAACATGCTATAATCTTCTCATTTATCTACTTCCTGCTAGGTTAGAAGCTCTGTATTTGCAAACTTGTCTTTAAAAGGAATCCTTTCTTGAGAGATTGCAATTGCCAATGTCCCATTCAGCAAATGCTTGTTGCCTTAATGACGTGCTGACCCTACAGCAACAATATTTTGAATCTCTCAATACTTCTGATCTGCACACTTGCTTCACATCAGAAAGTAATGGACCCAGGGAGTCAGCATTACAGCCAGGCTACCAGCATTTCATAGAGCAGGTAGGCAATGGCAGCCATTATATTTCTTGCAGAAAAGGTTTCAATTAAAGGGGCTGACAATATCTCATTTATGCTTTCAACATAGTTGGTATAAATTACAATAACAGACAATAAAAAAGTGACCCTGTTGGGGGTCAACAAAATTACAGGTCTTACCCTGAAAAGAAAGCATTTTAATACATATCTGTCCCTCAGCCCATTCTCTTAATCTTTACTCTGTAGCAGAGCTCCCAGTGCCGGTACAATTTAACTCTTGCGGCTACACGGATAGTGGGTCCCTCTGCTGACTGCTGTGTTTCATCCTGCGAAGTCTAGTCACTGCAGGACACAATAGTAATGTAGAGATCGGGAAGAGAGGGAACGCTCCTCTACATACATCTGATTTCAGTAAATGCCAGTGCAAAGGACTGCTGACACAGCTTCTCTACACCCAGAATAGTTTTCTGACAGCAGAATGTTTTGAATTTTTCTTACAAAACAGAGAATAAAGGAGGGGAATCTGGGCTCTGCGTAAAGCAGGAAGTGCAACAATAAATCTGTGGTATGGGTGGAAATAGCCAGGAGTTCTTGAAGCTGGAGACATGACAGAAGCAAGAACCCTAGTGAGGAGTGCCTCAGCCCACTGGTATCCACCAATAATTGAAAGATTAGCAATGCCTACAAAGAACCTATCTGGTCACCATGAGCAGGGTCGCCAAGAGGCTGTCTGTTTATCCCTATAGAATCACTCCCTCTGCAGCAGAGGCAGCGAGATGTCACTTCTAGCAATCGACATTCGGCAGCGTTCAGGCCAGCAACAGAGCGAAATCTAGCTTCGTCTGGTTACAGAGGGGACAGACAGGCAGGGACGTCTTTAACGCGAACAAAAAAGGGCAGTTGCCCCAGGCCCAGTCAATGTTGGGGGGCCCAAAGCACAACTTCTCTCTGCAAGTTCCATAACATGAGGTCCTGTCTGATCCCTTCTTCCTGTACCTGATCCCTTCCTCCTGTACCTGGGAAGGGGGTAGAAAAATACACCTTCGCCTGTATGGCAAAAGTCCTTGCACCTGCCCTGGGAAAGAAAATGTTTGCCCAGGGTCCAATCAATGTTAAAGACCGCCCTGCAGACGGGAAGCCTCTTTAACGACCATGTCTCTAGTAGCACAATTGCCCTTATTACATTCTTTGGTCTTTCTGTGTAAAAGGAAAGTATCTCAACAACTTACAGTTCCCTGAGATCGGTCTTTGACATCGTACACAGACAGCTTAATCTGGGTCATCTGATTGATGAGGGAGTCCTGGAAGAAGGCAATGCTGCTAAGAAATATAGGATTGCTTGTTCCCTAAAATAGAAAAGAGAATGAAAACAATATGAATATTAAGAACATCTCAATTCACAGAGATGTGTGCAATACAATGCCCTGATACATCCACAGAGAAGGATAGCAAAGGCTAAAGCCACTTAAACATATACAGGAGTACATAATGAGCCCTTATAATCCAAATGAGTGCGCAAAGCAATTGTTCTACTCATACTACCCCATCTTTTTTAATTTACCAAAGAATTGGTGATCATATTGCATTTGTGTGTACTAAATTAATTTTAGCGTATTTTTCCTGAAAATATAGATTTGATGAACAATTACGCAAATGTGTGACATAAAAAATGGAATCTGCCACCACTGTGTATTCTACAGGGCATCTGTTGTTGTGTATGGGGGTTTCAGGTAATTTTACAGCAACTGCAGATTTGACCATGTGTGCGACAAATTAGAAAAATTGCTCTGGACGCATAGTGGTTAAAAGTACCCAGAACTGCAAGCTTGTGCATCACATAGTAACTGGATTGGGCACTTATTTAGACCATCATACAGGAGCCATTACTTGCACTTAAAAAAGAAAACTCCACTTTATATACTGTACAACATTTCTACACAAGCCATTTTGTAAATTAATGTTATTAAAAGTGGTTGCCTACATTACATATCTCGGTATCAGAATCCCTACTAATTTGCATAATTTATATTCCCTTAACTTCATTTCCCACTTGGCCCAACTGAGATTGGATCTGAAAGAATGGACTAAACCGCTCTATTCCTGGTTTGGCAGAGCAGCCATTTTGAAGATGACTGCTCTCCCACGACTTCTATACCTTTTCCAGACAGTGCCGATTCACCTCCCCAAAGCCTTTTTCGCCTCCGTAAATACGTTTCGCTCATTCCTTTGGAACAATGGCACCCCACGGATTAGCACCCAAACCCTTACCCGCTCCAAGGGCTCAGGAGGTATTGGCCTTCCCCACGTACAGCGATACTATTGGGCTTGCCATCTGACCCGCATCATAGATTGGTCGGTTCATGCCTCCTATAAAGACTGGGTCCGAATAGAACAGCTCCAGTTGGATACCCCCATCGGCTCTTGGCCCTGGCTGCAACACTCACATCTCCCGGCCCAGGTGGTAAATCACCCGACGATAGGTGCCTCCTTGCATATCCTTGATACTGTCACCCATAAAACGACTCTCTCTTCAACCCCGGGTCCTCTTACGCCAGTCCGCCTGAACCCAGCCTTTCCCCCTGGCCTTCACAAATCTTTCCTACACCATTGGTCCCCCGACCGCCCACATGTTTTTCGACCGACAGGGAGTGTTCAAGACTCAAGCGGACTTGAATACCGTGTGCCCCTCTTCTCCCATTCCACTGTGGTCCTACCTACAAATCCACCATTTCCTCAATTCCCATAAACACAGAAACTCCTTTTCTCGCTCTTTAACCCCTTTCAAGAAGCTATGCACTTCTACCCAGAGAGTAACGCATACAATTTCAGAGATCTATTCTCTTCTGAATGATTCCGATAACCTCCCACCAACGCCCTCTACGAAGGCGTGGGAAGGTGATTTATCCACTACTCTCTCAATGCAAGACTGGAAACGCATGGACTCTTTGTTATTAGGAGGATCCTTGAACGTTCAAATACAGGAGACCAATTACAAACTCCGCTCGCGTTGGTATAAGACCCCGGCCCTACTTCATCGTATATATCTCCAAATATCCCTGAAACATGTTGGCGATGCCACCAAGACGTGGGCACACTCCATATTTGGTGGACATGCCCACGAATCTCTCCTTTTTGGAAAGAGGTCCATGCCATCCTCAGAAACATAACCGGTACTGGAGATAGAATTCTCCACAGTATGCCTTCTATTATATCATTTTGAGGAATCACTCCGCATATCCAAAAAATCACTCACAATTCATCTGCTTAACGCAGCAAAAAACGTAATCCCTAGACATTGGAAGTCAACAGACCCACCAACCATCCAGGAATGGCTCTCTCGGGTACATACCGTATCGACCATAGAAGAACTTATCTATTCCAGCAGAGATGACATGACCAGATATCTCAAAACATGGACCACCTGGCACCTATTCAAGGACTCAGCGGCATACGCTGCTCTCCAGCGGTGATTAAACCCTTCCCCCTTTTACCTCAGTACTCAACTTCTGTCTATCCATTCCTTCTCTCTATCCATTCCTCCTCTTCTCCTTCAGGGGAGGTTGGACGGGACCTTCCTTCCCTCTCAAAGCTCACTTCCCTTATCCCTCCCCCCTTCCACTTTCTTTATCTCATCTCTTTCCCATATCGCTTACCAACTCCCATTCCTCCCCATCACTCTTCCCTGTTTTGTCCTTCTTCCCTGTTGATCCCATTATACCCGCCTACAAAATGGCCTTTCCCAATTTTCGGGCGAGACCCCACACTACTTACGGTTCAATGGGTGATACCCCACTGTTCAGTACTCCCTCCCCCCAAGTGGTAAGAGCCAAGTTGACCGAAAGACAATACTGAGACCTGACACTCCTTTCATCCGACCCAAATGTGGCATGTAGGTAATCATCATGCGATATCCAGTGACATAGAGGGACGGAAGGATATGTAGCTACTCTAAAATAACAGGGTCTCTCGCAACAAGGCTCAGACCTACAGTTATGTTTTTCCCAAAATGCTCTACTGATCCATTCATGTTTGGAGCAAGAATGTACTTTCTTTCTAAGCTCACTTGTTCTGGGTCCCTAAAATTGGAGACAGGTTCCCAAGTCATTCTGCATAATTTTCTGCTCTGTAACACAAACACTTTATGGAGCCTGGTTTGGATTCCTTTGACTTCAATAGGAATTCTGGTTAAGAAATTCCGAATTTGAGTCTCTCGAGATTTTAAAAAAGTTTGGTTAAACCAAAAACTGATCAAACGTTTCAGAAGTTTGCTCATCTCTATAGGTCATACACAATGATACATTTGATTGTTTCAAGGGATTACTCAAACTGTTTGACAAAATTAATTTCGTCATACTAGAGATTTTTCACCAGGACGGTTTCTTTTTTGATAACAATGATGGTTTAATAATAGATCTCCAATTTTGCACAATTGTTTCTGCCATCAAAACAATCATATCATTACTATCAAAAGTCATTTAAAGCTATACAGATCAGCGGTGTGCGGCTTCATGTCTTTGTTAGGGGAGATTGTTTCAGAAATTATGGATCCTGGAGACAGCCGTCACCTGTTACTGTAGTGAACACGGCATATGATCTGGGAGCAGTATTGTGAATTCAAGATTCATATAATTATACTGGGAACAGAGAAACAAAAACACTGATGCTAGAAAACTGAAGATGTCCTTGGCAAATATAAGAAAGATAAGAACCAGATTTTTTCCAATGTCTTTATTTAAACAAACCACTTGCATGTAAACTCAAGATGTTCTTGTGTTACACCATATGTTCCAATATCTACAGCATAGTCTTTGAAATAATGTGTTATTCACTTTCGCCAGTGTCAATTGAGTTCAGCCGTGTTGCATGGTATGTTCGTCTCAGTACTGGTTACAGGATTCCAACACAGAAAATTTAAAAAATAAATAAAAATATAAAAATGGAATGTTAAATTCCAGTGCTGAGTTTTATATTTGGAGGCTTACATTGGTGTTAAAATCCAGTAAGGTAGTAGATTAACAAAATTCTATGGTGAGAGCAATATAAAAAATGAGAATAAAAAAAGGCAAAGAGTAGAAGGGAGTAAGGGAAGGGGAGGTGAAGTAAAGCGAGATGGTGGGAGGAGGTAGTGTGGGCATAATTGATCTATGGCGGTCAGATGGATAGGAAAGTGGAATGCAAACTTGCCATTCTGTTGGAAATGTTTTTATCAACATGCCACTTAGGCAATTTATTTACTTTACTGAAGCTTCCTGTTGTCTTTTGACTCAGGCAATGGATTGTTTTGCAGTCAGAAAGATACTGATTATATTTTGCTGCTTTTTCAAAAGTGACTTAATCTAATGATGGAAAAACAGCTCTGAAGTCTTTGTGCACAATACAAGAGAAAACACATGTGGCCGGAATGAGACACATTGCCAGAAACAGGAAAGCTTCTGACAACTGAAAAGACTATCCACAGCATGTAGCAATATTACAGGAAGACCTAATAAAATAGGGGGATGGGGTATTTGCAGATGAGGTTCCATGTTGAAAAATGTAAAGCTATGAACTTTGGTGCTAAAAACTTGAGACAAGTTAGGAGGGGTTAGAGTGTAAGAATCAGTGATAGATTTACTTTACTTAATCACTTTTACCCATGTTTGGATATTCTGAGATGGTCAAATGGCATGGAATGGTCAACTTTGCAAAAGCTAGAGACTTAGATATCGAGTCTCTAAGCCTCTAACACATGAGAATTGAGCACATTATAATGCCATCAATCACCTGCCCCATCTCATCTATGAGAGTCCAGGTCCTGGATTTATAGAGTTAGAATACCTCTGAGCTTGTCCATGTGTTCTAGGAACTCCTTTGAAGTAACAATTTTAATTTGTGTCCCCTGCCTGCATATCAACAACTGGAGGATGTTTCAAAATTAGCTGCACTCCACGGGTCTTCATAGGCTAATAGCGTCTTTATTATAAATAAACAGCTATACACCATGGATCACTCCCCCATATAAATTAACAATTCTTTTATATGGGGGAGTGATCCATGGTGTATAGCTGTTTATTTATAATAAAGACACTATTTGCCTATGAAGACCGGTGGAGTGCAGCTAATTTAAGAATGTGTTTATTGGAGGCGAGAACGCGCCTCTTTGCCTGCACCTGGGACATGTCTGTGGCGTGAAGTTGGCCTGAGAATTGGAGCGGTGGATGCTTTGGAACTACAACTGAAGGGAGGATTTTTAAAGTGCTGTCTAACCTACTGAATGAGGTCAGCGAACTGGCATTGCCAGAAGGCGAGCGAGCCATCCAGATGGAATACTTACTAGCAGTCCACTTTTTTTTATGACTGGGTAGCTTTAAAAAGGTAAAAAGGTACAGTTAAAGCACTATGAAAAATGTTGTTACTCTATGTTTTTCCCATAACAGTTTAGAACTGTTAGTTAAGAAGGTGTGGAAAACAAAGAATTAAAGCTGAACTCCAGACAAAACATGTATTTTCTAAATACAAGCAGCATATGTGTTCTTGCTTCAATCCTGGTATACTTTGTGTATTTGTGTGATTTGTGCAATAATCCAGTGTAAAACTTTGCCTCTGTGCAAGAGTTTCCTGTAATAAGGACAGGTCAATGCTGTTCTCTTCTTGTATAGTGTGACTGGTCTTGTATCAGCTCCCCTCCTGTAGATTTCTGCAGGTAGCCTGTAGTGGGTGGACCTACTAGGTCCCTCTCACAGCTTTGCTCTCTGTACAAGCTATATGCAGCACAGTGATGAGGTCACTGCTACATTTACAAGGCTCATAATGGCAGTGGATTTATATATTTTTGTGGCTAATGAGGAATATATTTCATTGAAAATGTTTGTGCCCAGTGTTCAGCTTTAGGATTCGCTATACATAAATGTGAGCATCAGAGATACAGACAGTATCTTAATAAGATGAAAAGACCAAGTCCATGTAACCAATCAAAATTAATAATTTCATAGTAGCCAGGATATTAAGGATAATTTCTGATTGGTTGTTGTGATTTACAGCTTGGCAGGCTACTGCATTTCATAAACTGCTCTTACCCATAATAAATAAGATAAGTTGTATACATGAAAATAAATTTCTCAGCCTAGGAAAGCAAGGCTCACCTCTATGATTTCTGTTTGGGCATGCTTTGTCCAGAAAGCCTGGGGTGGGGTTGTGACACTAACAGCAACAAAGCTATTTGGCTTCCGATCCAATGATGGGGTAGTAAGCTCACTGCATGCTGTTAAGAAAGTAAAAAAAAAAAAGGAAGAACACAATATATCATGTAACATCATTGGCAAATCACCTTGCAAAAGCTAGATCTGTTCTGTAGCCTATATATAGCTCAGCTGTTACTGCAGCATACATGGTCAAAAAAGCCACCATCCAAAATTATTAACATCCCTGATATTTATAATGAATGTATTGCCACCAGAATGCAGAAATTGGTCTGGGTGATAGTAAAGTTAGAAAACGAGTGGAATTTCTGAAAATTTGTCACATACTACAATACTAAACATTCCTGCAGTATTTAAAAAGGTAAAGTCCACTTTTTTGGAGGTTGTGATGTGACCATGTTTCATGTTCATATTTAGAGTGTTACATGAAACATGGTCTAAAAGGTAAACTTAGCTTTTAAAATGGAGCAAAGAGTAAACCAAGAATGATCTAATCCGAGATGATATAATGTTTTGAAAACGTTTGATTCTCTATTGTTACTTCAGAGATAGGGCTAGTGCTATGTTTGGAATCCCAGGGTGCTTGTAAGGTATACCCTTACGAATATATGTTCAGACCAAGAGAAAAATATTTTACCGTGTCAGTCAAGTGCAATGGACTGCACAAACCCTCCTGTGTTGGCTGCTTTAGTACCAAGTAACCTAATATCGTACAATTTGTTTGCCAAAATAATATTTTGCTGATCGATGTGCACTAGTACACCATTTTTAGCCATAGTGCATATGTAAGTGAATGAACAAAGAAACAAAAAAAAAAAATCATAATTTGTAGCTGTGCGCAGTTTTCTTGTCTCAGTATTTATGGAATGTTGTACAGAGACAGGTTCAAACAATCAGTGCACCACCATCAAACTTTATATGTGTTTTATATGAATTTTATCATAAGCAGCCAGGGCTAGATTAACTATTAAGGAAAAAAAGGCACATGCTTAAGGCACCAGGCGAAGACGTCACCAGTGTTTTTCTCCTAGCTATCATGCCGATAAAGGATACATGCACTTTAAAATAAAATGCAGTTCTCTTTTTTTGCCCCTTTGCCCTGAGATAACCGATCCCACCTTCTGCCTCTACAAATGTATACTGATCATGATCCGTCTCCAGCGGGCTCTGTTGTTTTTTAAATCCCGCGCTGCAAGTCCTCTCTCCCTCGTGACTGCACACGCCCATAACAGCCCCATTAGCTTTTAATGGTGCTTGTCTACCTTCATCTCCTGGGAGACAAAGGTAGATGAGCCCTATAGACCTGGAAGAAAACCTAAAAAAGGTTTATGCATTTTAAAACTTTTATTTCACTTTCAGCACCTATTGAGTACTTATGTCTTGTCAGTTTAAGCAAGGGGGAGGCCGAGGGGGGCACCATTGTAGGGCTGTGCTTATGGCATCAGCTTCCCTTAACATTAGAACATTGAAGTATAAATCAGAATTGCTCAATGTATTATTTAGCTGTGAAAAATACTGACAACTCTTAATTTCTTTTACATTTAGGCCCCATTCACACCTAGGTGTTTTGTTGCACATAAATACACGTGATAAAGCGAGCAAAACAAGAAATCGGTTCCATTCATTATTATAGCCCTTGTTCACACCTGAGCATAGGATAGCACGTTGAAAAATGCCTGTCACTGAAAAAAGCACATGAGCTTTTTTTGCAGATTACAGTGCATTTTGCACCCCATAAACTTAATAGGAAACGAGCAACACAATTGTTTTTGCACGTTTTACATGCATTTGCCCATTTACACCAATGTGTCACAATCTACCTGCTATAACACGCAACTTCATGTACGGGCATCTGATGCATGGGAAAACATGCAACAAAAACACATGTAGAGGAATGCAAAAACACTGTCGCCTAGGTGTGAATGCAGCCCAATATAAAAACAACTGCTCAGTTTCAGAACTATGTGCCTTTCTGTCACGGTGTATTAAAAAGATATTGTTTAGCTATTAGGGAACTTACTCTACTTAAAAAAAAAACAGATGCAGCTTACCCAAACTAAACTCCAGAATTGGCTCATCTGGGTCTTGAAAGTTTCCTGAAAATAAAATACAGGCAGAGTATTTAGTAATTTTACAAACCGTTTTTACAAAACTAACTCACTTTGTAAAGTAGCCTGTATGTACAGGAAGAAGCTGTTGGTGCAAGTTTATGTTTAAGAATTGCAAGCTGGAATATAGTCACAATGAGGATGCAAGCAGGCCAAACATACTAGAGAGAGAGGTTGGGTATGTAGCCACAATCTGGACTCTAAGAGCAGCAGATGAATGTTAATGTTTAGGCATATGGGTTAGGTCAAGAAGTTTAGTTGGAGACATGGTTCTCTAACGAGTTGAAGCTCTATCTCTCCGTCACCATTGCGGATAAGCCTTAGCCAGTAGTGCCCTGTATATATAAAATAATCTGATTCACCCGAAATTAGGCTGATCAAAAGACTGTCATCTAATGGCTATGGGAAAAATGAACCCCAGGGCTGGCAAGATAATGCAAAATTCAGGGCTTAGCCATTGCAGTTATATAGGTCAAGGAGCCAGGAGGCAATTTCAAGAATGTCATGTGCTTACAGGTTCCAAGTTCGGACGAATCATTTACAGCTCTAAAAGAGGCAGAACTATGCAACCTGCATATAACTATATATAGGTATACTAGGTAGCTGAAAGATACAATTAAAAGAAAACGTATGTTGTGTTAATTTTGAAAACAGACTTTATGGTAACAATGAAATTAACAAAAATACAGAATAGACTATCACTTCACCAGTAGAACAACTTGTTCTGCTGGTGCCAAATGTTTCCATGGCTTACCTGCATTGTAGTAGGTGTGTCTGTGTCTCACGAAGCAGACAAGTCATGGTTCTGGAGTGGAAAAATGTCAGCTTGGGAAGGGGAAGTGAGCATTTGTGCATAGGGTTTTCGCCAACATGCTGATATAGCTATTGCTGGTGAAAAGGCAGGTGCCAAGGGCATTGCTAGGATTGTGAAAGACCTGGGGCACTGCAAAGGGGAACACTGATGCTGCACGCACATCAACAGCACATACTGTATATGCCACAGCCACAAAATATGCTTCAATTACTCAATCACAAGCAAGAGTCTCACAGACGCAAATAAAATTTGGCACAAATATTCTTAAAAAGCTGAAACGCATCCATTACATATGCTTTACTACACACAGAATGTAGAACCAAAAACACATTAAGCCTACCATGAAGTCTCAATTACATAGCCAAGAATCATTTATTTTCTGCAGAGGGGATGTACAGGCATGCGATCAGCTGCAGCCAGCAGCCTCTTCAAACCAATGACAGTCTGCCGGACTGTTTGCGATAATGGACAGCCTTTGATAGTGAGCAGCCTTTGATGCATACATTTTTCCCATAGGGCCGCTCCTCTGTACCTAATCACATGTAACCACCCAGATGTGCAATTACATACGAACAGCCGTGCAATTACACACGAACAGCCGTGCAACCTGTCAGCCTGTTATTGATTTGTAAAGGCTGCTGGCCACCACTAATCGCAAACACCTGTGCATCCCAGTGCACAGCCCTAATCGAGTGTGTGAATGAGCCCTTACAAATAATTAATTGGCAACCAGAAACTGTTGAGGCAATGAATACTTTGTTCAGGAGTATGCGATTACTATTAGCATATAAAGTGTAAAGGTTAGGTGTATGTAATGGACAACACAGAGCAGGGGTCAGGAGTATATAATTTACAGAGTGCAGTGATCAGAAGTACTTAACAAGCAGTCCACTGTTGAGTTTACAGAGGGTATAATGGGGGACAGTACAGTCAAAAGCTGCTGAGGGGCATTACCTGCCACACCAAATGAGGCCTCACAGAGTTTGTGTAGTGGCCTCATTGTATACACTGATGCTGAGTAGACTAGGTTCCCCTGATGAAAGCATTTTGTGTTACAATAACAATACTTAGCAGTTCCAAATAATTAGTGCACAAATGTTTGTTTACTTTGCTAGTAAGGGAGAGTGACTGAGCTCAGTGGTTACACCCTCCAGCACTGCACTCCAAGTACCTGACCAGGCTGGTCTTGCTATAAATGGCCAGCGCCCTCAGGAGGTAAATGTGCTTGGTGTACCTGGATGGCGGGGGGTGCTGTGGAACAGGGCATTGGCTCTGCTGCTCTCTGTTGGCTGGTCACTGCCTATAGTGCTCCTAAAGCAGATGATCAGCCATTTAGCTATGCTGCACTCCCTCCCACTTCCTCCATTAATATTAGGGGAGGACAGTGTGGAGAGACAGAAGAGGTCAGAGAGGTATGCAGGGGGAAGGCAAAGGAGGAATAGGCAGCAGACAATCCAATGGAGTTGGGATGTGTCTATATAGCTGTCTGGCTTTTCTAACTGGAGCCGGGGCCTGCAGCGGCACAAATAACTGGAGGGTGGTCTTGGCAGAGTTTTTTTCAGTAGGAATAGCAACCAGAAATTTTCTAGCCCTAGCTTACAGTGGCATAAATACAATTCATACAAATGAGAACTCATGACACTAGGTAGACGGTAGAAAACAACATCTAAACAAAATAGCAAAGTAACTTGTACTACTGCATTCTTTTAAAACCCCTTGTGGAAAATAGACAGTTTGCACACACTATCTCAGTACCAGAGGTTGAGCATTCCAAAAACTGTGACACATATCAAAGATAATAGCATAATATAGGACTGGTGATAGGTCAAGACACCATGTCCCAAATTCTAGTAGTGAAAGACCATACTGCCCCAATAGACTTTCTAGGTGTCAGTACACTGAACTGACCATAAAGCAATAATTTATTATTATTTTGTCTTAAAATCACATAAAAGATTGTGAGATTTATACAGGTAAGTATATACACTCCCATACATCTACCCTTAACCACCCACTTGTCAGCAAAATATCCTTACAGTGCTGAACAATATAGTCTATTCATGTCAAAAGTAGCTGATACAGTGAGATAGGCATTACATTCTACACATTTCTCAGATTCACATCTGCTCTATCAGGAAGTATGGGAAAATGTATCTGTGTATCGAATAACCATGCGTCCACAACCAGATGTACAGTAGGGGGGGGACCACAGTAAATAAAAAAAATGGGATCCAAATGTTGCCCAACACATCCTTGTAGTATCTTGTTCTAAATATCAATAGGAGCCCGCATTTAAGATGGTTATCAGGGAATAGCAGTTCCCCATAAAAATTGATCGACAATCGCCATTAGATAAAGTACCGATCTGTTCATAGGGTGCATATAGAGCAGTGAAAGCATGACACAGGTCACAGAAGGTAAACAGAAGGGGAGAAACGCCCAGTGAAGACTGTATACTGGGGATCCTGCGATTGGCAACCTGAGGCCATAAAATGTGTGTTGCTTCATGGTGTATGGCTTGTAGCGTTGTACCTGTTCCCTTTGCTTTAAGGCAAAATAGGGTACACTGAAGAGAAAGGGGAGTACAGTGGCCCCCACTGTTATTAGAGCAGCAATAATAGCACCCAGCATTGGTGAAATTGGCCACTACTCCTAAGCTACTACTCAGCCCACGGTTTCTCCATAGGTGGAGGTTAAAGCACATTTGTATCAATTAGAAAACCCATGATAATTGAACCATTATTCTTGGAGGAAAACTGGGAACAGGCACTGCTAGTAGGTTTAGAGTTCAGAAGCAGTGCACAAATTTATTTAGGAAGCAGTTGCAAAAGAAGACAGACAGTATGTGGTCTAATGAAAGCACCCAAAATATAAACAAAAGAGCAACATGAAGACCATCTATTTTGATAGATTAGAAGTTCTCTAGTACACCTTTATATGTTCTGTGTCTTTGCAGACTATTGGTGTTCAGTGGTTTTATTTACCCCAGTAGCCACTCCCATGATGCTCCCTCTCTCATGCACTGCTGCCTCAACCACTTTGCCAGAAATATCACTGATATGTTGGGCAGTGGGCAGAAAATTACTCGCCCAACAGAGCGAATACAAGTGCAATGAAAGTGCTGAAATGCAAATCATTCCATCACAATGGCAGCACTTTTTTTTTTTTTTTAAACACGCACCCATTGGAGGATTCTGCGGTCACCTGGTGGTCAAATCCCATCTAAAATCAGACAGGGCCCCATCAGGGGTGCCAGGCAGGGCCAGGCCCCCTTGTAGATCTGATGGGACTTGGTCACATTGGGGTAGGACAGCGTTTACCCTCCTATTGGTTCATATACATGGTGGATATAATTACTTATGGATTTAAGCTAGCACAGTATTTTCACTCTCAATGTTATATCATAAGTTACCAAAGAGACCATGACGGTGCCACATTAGAGAGTGTTTCTATACCATTACATTATAGTGTGGTCCTATCCGTGAACTGTTGTTTACTATACTTCAATTCCTTTAGGTTTACATTGCTGATAAAGAAATGCATTGTTTTAAATCAACTATAGCGCCACAGTCAGCTGTTTTTTCATTACTTTTTTGAAGACCCCATAGGTGATTATCCACTTTGTCAATTATATACTCTAGTGTAGGGGTAGGCAAACTCTGGCCCTCCAGCTGTGGTGCAACTATAAATTCCATTAGAGGTTGCAAGGCTCTGACTCTCTCAAGACATTGCAAGAGTTTGCCCACCCCTGCTCTAGTGTTTAGCTTCACAGGACAGTTTGAGACTTTTTTTTTTTATTCCTCTTGAAGGTAAAGTTAGCCACACATGTTACAATCTGACTGTATAATCTTCTTTACATTTGCCAACAACTGAATAGATGTAAACAAAATGAATTGAATTGTTCTGGTATGGCTTTATACCACATAGTTATTGGCAAATCTAAAGATGGAGATTGTAGCCACCTTTAGCACTGGTCAATAACTGGACAACTAGGTTTAACAATGATCCAGCCTAATGGATAAATCAAGGTAAGTACATAAAGCGAATGATTAGATAGATAGATAGATAGATAGATAGATAGATATACACATATGCACACACACGCACAGTATTTGCATTATAGACAGCCTGGTTGTATTTTGTTTCCTCAAGAAAATGACTTTCAGGGAGGTAGACTTTTTCATTAACCTCTTGCCGTCCGCCCGTAGTAAAAAAACGGACGGACGGCACTGCTGCATCTGCGGGTTGCCGTCTCCAGACGGCAATTTTTTTCTGCTCGCGCGTGCCCCCTAGCGGGCACGCACGGGAAAAATGGCCTGGATGGGAAGGGGGTTTAACACCGCGGATGTCAACTGGTTAAAGAGTAAAAGGTCACTGTGGATATACTTTTGAATTGCATGGTAAGATAGACACAGCATACCGACTAGGAAGTCCTTTCAACATACTTTGAATGGTTCCAAGACTTCATCAGGGCATCTTACAAATGTATTGCTCACCAGCAGTGTTTCCAAACAGTGCTGAAGACATTCAGCCAATGATATATTCACAGTGTCATTTACTAAAGGTCATCTTGCAGTGATTCTATACATCACTCTCTTCCGATCTCCAACCCAGAAAGATATTCTGATGTCTTGGTATCAGTTAGAATGAAATAAATAAAGGAACGGAGTGTGTGTGTGTGTGTGTGTGTGTGTGTGTGTGTGTGTATGTATGTATGTATATATGTATATATATATGTATATGCACACACACACACACACACACACACACACACACACACACACATACATACACGCACATAACATATTTATATTTATTATTACACATAAATACATACGGTATATTGAGCAATTGAGATTGCAACATACTGTAATTAAAACATTGAAATAGTTGTAATGCTTTAAACCACCTGCACAGTATTAAAGAAGAACTCCAGAGAAAATGATTATTAACCCTTGCAGTGGGGCAGCCCCCGCAGTGCAAGGGTTAACTTTTCGTTTGTCTCTAGGGAGGAAATTAAAGTTGTACTCACCTGATCCTTCGAGCAGGCTTGCTTTTAGACTGCTCCCTGGAGACTCTTTACCCCTCCGCTACAGTGGTTTAAGGTCCCATAACTCATCACGTTATATACACAGCATATAGAATGCAAGCACTCTGAGGAACATTCCAATTCAGCAGTGTAGGAGGAGAGAGGCTGGAGGGAGTGCTGTAAAAGCCAGGTAGCTTAGAGGATTGGGCGAGTGTAGCTTTATTTTTCTCCCTAGATCAAAATGAGCAGTCACGAACACGACTGCAAGGGTTAATAATAATTTCCCCTGGGGTTCTGCTTTAAAGTGCATATCTGAGCAAAATAACAACCAAAACATACAGTAAAGATGCACATTTCCCCCATATTTTGTTTCCTAAAAATAAACACCTCTAGATCCTGCCAAAAATGAGCGCCTAGCTTTACGGAGTGAGCTAAAAACATTGCTTCTGCTATAATGAAATCCCGAGCAGTGTTGTTAGCACTACCCGAGTTCTTCCCTGCTGGACTACAGAACATTTCCCCCTCTTTTTATCCTAATGACATATGCAATAGGAGCAGGGGAAAACTGGGCAGGACTGACAGCATTGCTAGGGATTCCAGTTCAACAGAGGAAGCACAGTCAGCTCATCACAGTACGTTAGACAAGATAACTGGCAGGATCAACAGGTATTTTTCTGTACTTACTGACTTTTCCAAGAGTTACATTCTGTGAAAATGTGCCTGTATGGTAGTGATGTACTGACTGTGCATTTTACTTTTATTTGGCCTAGACATACACTTTAACCCAAACAATATTATGAAATGAAAGCTATGTAAGCCGCAAGTGAAAACCCTTTTCAGCACTTGGTCGCCATTATGTACACCCGATTCCATCCAGAACCCATAAAAACACATACCAGCCAGTGACAAGCCCAACATTTCAGAAGTGACTTCATAGGTGGAGTGAGGCCTGGCGCCATGGCGAGGACTACGTTGTCTTGTTGACATTTCGACATGAGGAGGGCAGAGAAGTGACTTGATTTAAATGTTCAGGACCTAAAAATAGAGACATTCATAATAAACCAATAGCAAAAACAAAAAGAGCAATTCTAACAACTGGCAATGATAGTTGCAACTGCAATAAAAAAAAAAATACAGAAATGAATTTAATCTCTATTTTTAATCTCCTTTACTTATATAACACCATTCTGCAGTGCTGTGCAGCAGGGGAATATACACAGACTATTAAGTCTATTATGTTTTAATTACACTGGCATCATAAAAATACAACATAGCGGTTTCTTATAAAGGCTGACAAACATCCTTATCTAAAAGGGCCACGTCTTCCATTACAAGACAACACTTGATTTTCTGTAAAAACAATATAGGTTATAACCTAGAACTGGACATACAACCACACCCATCTTATCTTTCCATTATATAACCCCAGCCATGGAGCTCCAGATGACTTCTTGCTGATATCATACAAAGATGATGAAGAATGAGTTCAACTGGCAGAGGTGATGCATTCATCTAAAAACATAAAATATCCCTCTACTAAAATACCTAATTAGATCCAGCATAATAAAGATTCCCCCAGCAATTGCTTCCCATCACTGCTAAGAATGTTTACATTCATCAACAAAAAATAATTGACAATAATGCTCCATTCACATATAGCATGGGACGCAAACGCTATAATCTTAACTGCATGGATGCCACAAAAAAAAAAAAAAAATCGTACCTGTACTATTTTGCGGGCCAGGCAAAAGTTTGAACAATGCACATTAAAGTGCATTGGTTTTTTATGTTGTTTAGAGCGGCTCCACGCGTATTCATGCGGACAACCGTTTATATGTGAATGGAGCATAAAAAGAATAGCGCATCCTCCCAGAGCTTTACCCAACAGTGAAACCTCAAAAGGTAAATATGCTTTTAGTTATATGGTGGAGGACCCAACCTGGCAACTCTCTTTGGGGATTGAACCACCCTCTGCTTTGGGATATTTTTGAGACACCAAGCTTTCTGTGTCTCAAGTCTTAAAGCTGGCAACTTTTTCTGAAAATCATTGAGGTGCATGGGTGTGAATGTGCATACGGATATCCGCATCTGTGTTTTTGCGTGCATACCTGGGTGTATATAGTTTGCTGAACTGTGTTATATTTTTGTGGGGTTTTTTTGGAAATGAAAACTGCAAAATAAAACAGCTTTAAAAAATAGATGACGTTCCTTGCACCCCAGTCATCCTCTATGCAGTGGAAGAGGTCATTCTTCAGGTAGAGATAAATATTTACTGGCTGATAAAAGGTTACTGTTCAATTAACAATATTTAACTTGTTTATTACGGTACATGCAATTCAGAGAACACTGAAATATGGGAGGCAATTAAGGTCACTTGCAAAATGTTGTAATGACAAAATCAGTGAGGAAATAACTTCTTAGAATTGCCTTCTAATAACCATAGTTTCCTGACACATGAAAGGCTGGCTACAACCAATTACAACTGATGATCCCAATTTTACATGTGGATAACTCTGGTGTCCATGCAGGCCCAGAGGACAGTCTTTGGTGGTTAAATGGGCTCATTATCACACAAGCAGATTCTTTAACCTGCAGGCCTACCTAAACTTTTTTCTGTTATGCAGCAAATGAAAGGATCAAGGTACTGCAGTCGTGGCCAAAACCTTTTTGAATGACACATATTCATTTTCACAAAGTCTGCTGCTTCAGTGTTTTAAGTTCTTCTTGTCAGATGTTACTATGGTATACTGAAGTATAATTACAAGCATTTCATAAGTGTCAAAGAGTGCTGACCGCTCTTATTCAAGACCTCTGCAATTTGCCCTGGCATGCTGTCAATCAACTTCTGGGCCACATCCTGACTGATGGCAGCCCATTCTTGCATAATCAATGCTTTAAGTTTGTCAGAATTTGTGGGTTTTTTTTTGTTCACCAGCCTCCTGAGGATTGACCACAAGTTGTCAATGGGATTAAGGTCTGGGGAGTTTCCTGGCCATGGACCTAACATTTCGATGTCGTCTTTCCCAAGCCACTTAGTTATCACTTTTGCCTTATGGCAAGGTGCTCCATGATGGAAAAGGCATTGTTCGTCACCAAACTGTTCTTGAATGGTTGGGAGAAGTTGCTCTTGGGAGGATGTTTTTGTAACATTCTTTATTCATGGCTGTGTTCTTTAGGCAAAATTGTGAGTGAGAAGTAACCCCACACATGAATGGTGTCAGGATCCTTTACTGTTGGCATGACACAGGACTTACTTTAGCGCTCACATTTTCTTCTCAGGAAAAGGCATTTTCCGGATGTCCCACAGAATGGGAAAGGGGATTCATCAGAGAAAGTGACTTTCCCCCAGTCTTCAGCAGTCCAATCCCTGTCCCTTTTGCAGAATATCAGCCTGTCCCTGATGTTTTTTCTGGAGAGAAGTGGCTTCTTTGCTGCTTTTCTTGACACCAGGCCACCCTCCAAAAGTCTTTGCCTCACTGTGCGTTCAGATGCACTCACACCTGCCTGCTGCCATTCTGGTGCAAGCTCTGCACTGGTGGTGCCCCGATCCCACAGCCGAATCAACTTTAGGAGACGGTCCTGGCGCTTGCTGGACTTTCTTGGGCGCCCTGAAGCCTTCTTCACAACAATTGAACCTCTCTCCTTGACGTTCTTGATGATCTGATAAATGGTTGATTAGGTGCAATCTTAAGGTGCCCATACACTGCTCGATTCCCGTACGAGAATCGCGGGAAATCCCGCGATCGTACGAGAATCGAGCAGTGTGAACGAAGACGTGCGACCCGTTTCTACTGTACGGTCGAACGTCTTTTGTCTAACGAGCATGTTAGAAAACCAGCCGAGAATCGTACGATTTTCGGCTGGTTTGAACGGTGCTCGGGAGACAAATGCTGAACGGGCAGTGTGCGCGTGCGCACACCGGCCCGTTCGGCATTTGTCTCCCGAGCACCGTTCAAACCAGCCGAAAACCAGCCTCAGGGGGGTGGGCTTGCGATGATCGAGAGTGCGATCTGCCTGTCCAAGATGGGCAGATCGTACGTTTTTTAATCACTTTACAACCATCGCAAGACTAAGGTCTTGCGATGGTTGTACAGTGTATGGCCACCTTTAGTAGCAGCAATAGCATTGCCTGTGAATCCCTTTTTGTGCAATGATGACTGCACATGTTTCCTTCCAGGTAACCATGGTTAACAGAGGAAGAACAATGATTTCAAGCACTACCGCTCTGGAATGCACCACTTTCGGTGTGAACAAACCATGACAGAGTGGTCTCCAGCCTTGTCCTCGTCAACACTGACATGTGTTAACGAGAGAATCACTGACATGATGCCAGCTGGTCCTTTTGTGGCAGGGCAGAAATGCAGTGGAAATGTTTTTTTGGGGATTAAGTTAATTTTCATGGCAAAGAGGGACTTTGCAATGAATTGCAATTGATCTGATCACTCTTCATAACATTCTGGAGTATATGCCAATTGCCATCATACAAACTGAAGCAGCAGACTGAGAAAATTAATATTTGTGTAATTCTCAAAACTTTTGGCCAGGACGGTAATGTCTTTATCAGGTTACAATTGCAGTGTATTCCACCAAATTACTCCAAATGGTCAGAATGCTGCACCTCTATTATTCTCCAGGAAACAACTTCCTGTCTCTGGCAACCATAAAAAGGCTTTAAACTATCTGATTTGCATGTATTATCTTCGCAAGGAGTTACTTTATTGCCCCAATAAAAAACAAACTTATGACACAACAAACAGGTTATAAACAAGGGGAATAGGTCATCTTCTATAGCTTGAGGAGAGCACCCAATTGGAATTAACCTCTGCCTGGAAAAGCAACAAAGTGGCAGGACACTGGACACAGGGGTGGACAAATTTATATGGAATTTAGGAACCAGTCTCCTCAATCCATGAGCCAGCAGGATTTTCTTGGAGCTAGCTCTATTGACAACAACTAAAGAAAACCTCAAAAGTTAGGCGCCAGCTGTAAATAAAAAAAACACGGACGGGCGGCAAACTCACATTGGCGGGTTGCCGTAATTAGAAGGCTTTTTTTCCCGCTAGGGGGCACGCGCGCTCAGGCAGAAAAAAATCTGTCTGTTCTGCAAAGCCGTTACCAGCTGTTTGACATACAAATGATCGGCGGCTCTATAGCCTGCTGATCGCTTGTATGTTGTGGCTGCGCGCCCCCCTCCTCGAGTGCCGCCGCTGACCCCCCTCCTGCACCTTCAATCTTGAGATCCGCTACCCCTATCTGCGGCCCGGGACCGGCTCGGGAGGGTGTCAGGAGGAAGATGGGAGGGAGATCAGCATCTACCTCCTTGATGATCTCCATCCGTAATGTGAATGTGGAAGTGATGTGTGATACATCACTTCCGCATTCACCTGTCAGTCATCTGGCTGCTATAGCCAGAGAGAAGAAGCTGATGAAGCAGATCTCTGATAAAGCAGATATCAGCTTCTTTGGGGGTTCATAGGTGACATTAGGGGTCTTGGAGACCCCTAATGTCTCCAAAAAGAGGACCTGTCAGTGTGCCTTTGCTATTATATAGGGGGATTGTTATCCCCTATGTGATAGCAATAACATTAAGTGCAAAAAAAATAAGTAAAAAAATAATGTCACACAAAAAAAAAAATCACTGATAACACTAAACTGATGAGCGGTAACAGCTTTTAAAGCGTCGCCTATGGCCAATCTTGGGTATTGTAGTTTGTTGAGGTTTTGCGCACGCAATTTTAAGGCTTGACATGTTTGGTGTCTTTTTACCCAACATGACCCCGCTTTTTATATTTTACCAAAAAATTGGGTAATAATGGTGATTAAATACCACCAAAAGAAAGCTCTATCTGTCCCCAAACATTTTTATAAAATTAATTTCAGTACAGTGTTGCATGACGGAATAAATGTCAAAGTACTGCAGCGCTGAATAGTGAAAAATGGCCTGGGTTGGAAGGGGGTGTAACACCGCGGACTTCAAGTGATTAAGGAGCATTGGCTACCCGGCTCCTGGGATTTGTCCAGCCCTGCTTTAGATG